GGAGACAAATGTGGACACAACTATGAGGAAAAGCATTTTTCTGATGACAGAATGCCATGTCATGCTGGTGTGTGTAATTTTCATTTCAAGTTTTTAGTTCTGTTGTAACATTACCTCTTTCTCTAAGTAACTATGTTTGTGGCTGGCTGGTTCTTTTATGTGTGGCTCTGTGGCTTTGAGGTTAGTGAAAGAGTTTAACAGTTTCAAAATCCCTGAGCGCTAGGGTTCTTCTTGTTCTGCATTTGCCTTTAAAATGGCAGTTGACATGGGCTGTGTTGTTGTTTGTGGCAAGGCTGCAAAATCTGTGCAATCTCTTATTTGTCACCATTTTGAGATGCTTATTAGGGGGCAGTGGATTTATTCCTTCACCCTCCCCTAAAAAGGGTTCTAGAATTCAACTGAAAGTGCAAGGGTTTGATTTCTACCACAGACAGTTTATTTGAAATTGAAAAAAAAAAATGCTTGCAGTTTTTAGACACTGAGATGAGACTTGCACTGTAAAAGAACAGGGGGTTGCCGTGGTGCTGGCGGCTAGACGCCCGCCTGTGGATCAGAAGGTCATGGGTTTAGATCCAGATGGAGCCGGAATTTTTTTTAAAGTGACTTTGACTTCCAGGTTGACCCAGCCTTGAGTGGGTACCAGGTGCAGTCCTGGGAAGTAAAGGCACCCGGCGTGTTGTTGACCCCATCACCCACTAAGTACTGATTGGTCTATAAAAAATATACGTCTAGCCCTATATTCCCAATAGGCCTGAAGGTGTGGAAACAGATCCTTTACTTACTCTGTGTAAAAGAATAGGATCTCACCATGTATTTAATATTCCCCAAAACAAAATTAACAGTGATTCAAAATGTAGCCAAGTTTTATTGTGGAGGCAGTTAAAGTAAAAGTAAAAGTAAGTAAAGATCTCTTTTCCCGCCCTTAAGGCATATAGGGTAAATGGGAAGAGCGCCCACATTTTTACAGACCATCGGCACTAGGTGGGTAATGTGGTCAGCATTATGCTGGCCATCTTTACTTCCCCAGGACAGCTATCCTGGTACCCCTTTTAGGCTGGTTGGACCTGCGATGCCCTATACCATGATAAAAATTCACGCAGCCAGGAGTGGATTTCAATCGCAGTACGTTGGAATTATGAGTCGGACTCGCATCGCCTAAGCTGCGGACGCCGCTTGTGGAGACAGTAAAACCTGTAAAACCATTTTGACCCCAATGCTCACTCTTCTGTACTAAAGCTTCAACACCTGACAATGATGGCCTAATTATGAATGCATACTGCTGTTTGTGTACCGAAAAAAAAAGGGTCTTATTTCCCTTGTCATTAAAAAAACTAACTCAGCAAGTTGGGAAAATTAAAAAATAAATTTCTAGTTGTTAAACCTAGAAAGGTGAAAGAAATTAATGGAGCAATTAAAGTAACTGACAGAAGAAATTGTTTATCAGGCTTAAGGGATTACATTTACTTGAGCAGACATGGAAAACGTGTAGCAACAGAACTAATAATGAATATGGAATTCAAATGTCTCTGCGGGTCACAGAGCCCCATTTTGGAACACAAAGAAACAGACCTGTCGCTCTTTACTTAACAAGCATGACATAAAAGACAATTAATTAAAGGTTTCTGAAATCAGAAGAGTTGGGCCAAAGGGAGCAGATATTGCAGCATATCTGCAAACCACAACACAGCTGTCCTTTTCAAAGCAAATGCTGAAGAAATGGTTGTGAGGACCATGTCTGCTTGCACCCCAAAAATGGCAAATGATGATGATTATTTTATACACAACCATGTTCATAACCTGTAATAACATGTGAATGAGGTTACGTTTCTTTACTTTAATTTATAATTAACATTTTAGAATCTGTGTTATCAAAGGCCCATATGAACACAGATGCCAATTATACCACAAATCATAAAGATTAGAGACAACTTTATCTACATGTGTAACCAAGCTGTTTGTTACTATTTTCTTGAGTTATTGATGTACATATTCATTACTGAAATTTGAAATGTTAATTTTAACTCAATCAACATATTTTAATCTTTCACATTTCAGGAGCCCTCAAGCATAGTGGTGAGAAACCATCTGTGGTTCAGAGCTAGATCGGGTGGTTCAGAGCTAGACAGGGTGGTTCAGAGCTAGACAGGGTGGTTCAGAGCTAAACTGGGTGGTTCCGAGTTAGACTAGGTAGTTCACAGCTAGTCAGGGTGGTTCACAGCTAGACAGAGTGGTTCACAGCTAAATGGGGTAGTTCAGAGTTAGACTGGGTGGTTCAGAGTTAGACTGGGTGGTTCACAGATAGATGGGCTGGTTCACAGCTAGATGGGGTGGTTCACAGCTAGGCTGGGTGGTTCAGAGCTAGACGGGGTGGTTCAGAGCTAGACGGGGTGGTTACCAGCTAGATGGGTTGGTTCACAGCTAGATAGGGTGGTTCACAGCCTGATGGGGTGGTTCACAGCTAGATGGGGTGGTTCACAGCCAGATGGGGTGGCTCACAGCTGGATGGAGTGGTTCACAGCTACATGGGGTGGTTCAGAGTTAGACTGGGTGGTTCACAGCTAGACGGGATGGTCCATACATCAATCGCTAGAGTTATAAAAAAAAAACAGGGTGGTTCACAGCTAGATAGGGTGGTTCAGAGCTAGACAGGGTGGTTCAGAGCTAGATGGGGTGGTTCACAGCTAGATAGGGTGGTTCAGAGCTAGACAGGGTGGTTCAGAGCTAGATGGGGTGGTTCAGTTCTAGATGAACTGGTTCACAGCTAGATGGGGTGATTCAAAGCTACATGGGGTGGTTCACAGCTAGATGGGTTGGTTCACAGCTAGATGGGTTGGTTCACAGCTAGATGGGGTGCTTCACAGCTAGATGGGTTGGTTCAGAGCTAGATGGGGTGGTTCAGTTAGATGGGGTGGTTCACAGCTAGATGGGGTGGTTCACAGATAGATGGGGTGGTTCACAGTTAGATGGGGTGGTTCACAGCTAGATGGGTTGGTTCAGAGCTAGATGGGGTGGTTCACAGCTAGATGGGTTGGTTCAGAGCTAGATAGGGTGGTTCAGTTATATGGGGTGGTTCACAGCTAGATGGGGTGGTTCACAGATAGATGGGGTGGTTCACAGCTAGATGGGGGTGGTTCAGATCTAGATGGGGTGGTTCAGAGTTAGACCAGGTGGTTCACAGCTAGACAGCATGGTTCACAGCTAGATGGGGTGGTTCAGAGCTAGATGATGGGGTGGTTCACAGCTAGATGATGGAGTGGTTCAGTGCTAAATGATGGGGTGGTTCAGTACTAGATGATGGGGTGGTTCAGAGCTAGATGATGGGGTGGTTCAGTGCTAGATGATGGGGTGGTTCAGAGCTAGATGATGGGGTTCCTTAGAGCTAGATGATGGGGTTCCTTAGAGCTAGATGATAGGGTGGTTCAGAGCTAGATGATGGGGTGGTTCAGAGCTAGATGATAGGGTGGTTCAGTGCTAGATGATGGGGTTCCTTAGAGCTAGATGATAGGGTGGTTCAGTGCTAGATTATGGGGTGGTTCAGAGCTAGATGATAGGGTGGTTCAGTGCTAGATGATGGGGTGGTTCAGTGCTAGATGATAGGGTGGTTCAGAGCTAGATGATGGGGTTCCTTAGAGCTAGATGATAGGGTGCCTTAGAGCTAGATGATAGGGTGGTTCAGTGCTAGATGATGGGGTGGTTCAGTGCTAGATGATGGGGTGGTTCAGAGCTAGATGATAGGGTGGTTCAGTGCTAGATGATGGGGTGGTTCAGAGCTAGATGATAGGGTGGTTCAGTGCTAGATGATGGGGTGGTTCAGTGCTAGATGATAGGGTGGTTCAGAGCTAGATGATGGGGTTCCTTAGAGCTAGATGATGGGGTTCCTTAGAGCTAGATGATAGGGTGCCTTAGAGCTAGATGATAGGGTGGTTCAGTGCTAGATGATAGGGTGGTTCAGTGCTAGATGATAGGGTGGTTCAGTGCTAGATGATAGGGTGGTTCAATGCTAGATGATAGGGTGGTTCAGTGCTAGATGATAGGGTGGTTCAGTGCTGGATGATGGGGTTCCTTAGAGCTAGATGATAGGGTGGTTCAGTGCTAGATGATGGGGTGGTTCAGAGCTAGATGATGGGGTTCCTTAGAGCTAGATGATGGGGTGGTTCAGTGCTAGATGATGGGGTGGTTCAGAGCTAGATGATAGGGTGGTTCAGTGCTAGATAATGGGGTGGTTCAGAGCTAGATGATAGGGTGGTTCAGTGCTAGATGATGGGGTGGTTCAGAGCTAGATGATGGGGTTCCTTAGAGCTAGATGATGGGGTGGTTCAGTGCTAGATGATGGGGTGGTTCAGAGCTAGATGATAGGGTGGTTCAGTGCTAGATGATAGGGCCTTATTTGGAGAAGCACCAAAACTGCTTGTATTATGACTGAAAATTGACATGATAAATTCACTAGAAATTACACAGTAAAGAATTTCACTGAAACATATTAAATATATTATCTTTGGTATCTGAACCTGTTTGGGAAGGATCGGTTTAGATTATTGTTAGGACAACTTGCAGTTTCTAACACATCAGGCCATGTGCTGCTGTTGTTTGCTTTTATCCATAATTACACTGCTTGTATGCAGAGGGTCAGCTATGCAAGAGCATGATCGCAAATAACAGGACGCTGCAGGGACAAACCTTAATCACGAGACACAAATAACAGACAAAGACTCAAACCTTAATTACTATACATGAACAAAAGACAAAGACTCAAACATTAAAGATTATACATGAACAAAAGATAAGACCTTAATGATTATACATGAGCAAATGACAAAGACTCAAACCGTAATAGCTATACACACAAAAAACAGACAAAGACGCAAACTTTAATGACTATACAAGAACAACAAACAAAGGCACAAACCTCAATCCCTATACATGAACAAGATACACAGACTCAAACCTGAATCACTAAAGCATAACAAGTAAAGCAGACGTCAATGATCCTGTATACTTACATCCAGCTTGCGCAGCTCCGCAATATGCAGAGACAACAACTGCATGGGGATGACAGTCAGGACACCCTGCAGGCAATCAATGGTCTGTGGAACCCCAATGAACTGCCTAACTGAAGACTCGGTCTCTGTGTCTCCTGCTGTGCCAATCACTATGGGGTCGCCCTGCCAATGGACATTGATATTCTTCAATAAATCATGTCACAATAAGGATATGTGAAGTTTTCAATAAGGATATGTGAAGTTTTCAATAAGGATATGTGAAGTTTTCAATAAGGATATGTGAAGTTCACAATAAGGATTTGTGAAGTTTTCAATTTGGATATGTGAAGTTTTACTTGTATCTCCCTATGGAGGAACAGCTGGCCGAATGGGTTCAAATCCTCAGGCAGGCTGGGGATTTTTTCTGCCGGGGGCAAAATAAAATCCTTACCTGCACAGTCGTGGCGACAGCACTAGCCATGCGGCCGTAAATCCTCAGACTTAAAGACCCCCCCTGCCTACACCGCAAAAGTGGTATAACAAAGGCAGTAACTGGCAGATTGGCTGATCCCCCTATGCAGTATAATCAGCTCAGGAGAATACAGTAGAACCTCTCATAACGAGTAATTCGTATAACGAGCAAAACAATTTGTAAAAGAATGACTTGCTTAACGAGTGAATTTCGCATAGCGAGTTGCGAGGAGAGGGGAAGTCCCAGATTTTGCGTACATTACATCAGTATGTGTTTAGCACTCGTTCCAGTAGCATCGTAGTGTCACTTGTGATCACACATTTTCTCAAATTTGTGTTATATTATGTTATATGTATATGAATCCTCTAGGCCTACAAGATGACCTATCTGAAGAATTTAAGTTTATCAAGATCAAGTTTCTGCCTCCCAACACTACTCCGTTACTAAAGCCAATGGACCAGCAATTTATTTCTAACTTTAGGAAGCTCTACACTAAAGCACTCTTCGAGCATTGTTTTCAGGTAACTGAAGGGACCTACCACACTCTCAAAGAGTTTTGGAAAAATCACTTCCACATCGTTGCCTGCATAAAGAATATGACTTTGAGGGGTTTGAGACAGTACCTGTAGTCAACGAGATTGCATCTTTGGCCACTATCATGGGATTGTAGGTGGATAAAAGTGACATCGAAGAGCTTGTGGAAAAGCACAGTCAAGAGCTGACCACCGAAGAGCTTATGGAGTTGCATTGTGTTTCACAGCAAGAAGTTTTGGATGAAAGTTTGTCAGAGGAGGAGGAGGAGGTAACAGAAAAGCAACTATCTTCTGGCGAAATAAGAGAAATGCTGAAAGCATTGGAAACTGTTGCATCTTACATTGAGAAACATCACCCTAATAAGGAAGTGGCTATGCGTGCTGCAAATTTATTTAATGATAATGCTGTGTCACATTTTCACCAAATTTTGAAGCATCGGCAAAAAAATGTCTCTGGACATCTTTCTAGTAAAAAATAATTAGCTTTGTATCATAATTATTTCGATTTTTGTTTGTTTTCTGCAAACCTAATTCGCATTCCAGGTGGATTTGTTCCGCGGTGGGAGAAAAGATAAAGATGATTCACTCTCCTTAACAATGTGTACGTAATTTTCTTTGAATAAACATTATACATAACATGTTGTGAGTATTTTTTCAACATGGAACGCATTATCATACTTTACATTAATTTATAGGAGAATTTTTTTTCGCATAACGAGTTTTTCGCTTTACGAGTATGATTCAGGAACGAATTATGCTTGTTAAGCGAGGTTCCACTGTATCTTTCTCCCATCTACTTTATAGTCTGTGTATACATTCCACACATTTACATACTTGACCAAATGCAAACAAGAACATTCATCTTTATCTTCTTCTTCTTAACTTTGTTTTTCTGTTAATCCGAGTGAAGTAATTTTATTGTGCCTGTTTAGCAGGAAAACTACCCACACACAAAAATTCATAAGAAAAAAAAAGCCATATTACAGATGTCAATAACTCTACCTGACGGCTGTACCGCTTTTTCTGTACTTTGCGTACTACGTGAAAAACAAATATGTAACAAACTAAAAATAACCAACCAATCATGGTCAAACCTCATGGTTATTCATGGCAAATGGCTGTTCCCTTGTGTTTGGTTTTACTTTGTGTGGTTAAACGTGAAAAAATTATAAAAATTCAAAATGAGCGGTTGATGAACCAAGCACTTCAACAGGAAAGTGAAGTGGTTCTAGGCTTGTCACAGTCTAACAGGTGATCAATACTTTGACTGATTCAGTCTCTGAGAAGTCAGAATTTCAACACGAATACATTTCCAGCTCAAGTGACACAAACTGTGAGAGGTCAAGTGATGAGGAGAATCTTGAACCTTAAAGAACTAGAGCTAGATAGACAGTAAGAGAAGAGGGCTGTGTCCTTCAAACAGCTGATGGGGGAGATCTAGGTGGTGATGAAGGCTGGACAACCTATTTTCTACAATGTCTGCACGTTTTATCTTATTCTAACCATTTGTTTGCATGTAACTAATATTTTTGTACATCATGTTGGTTTTTTCGCGTTAATGCCCAGGAGCTCAGGTTTAGGGGGCAGTTAGGTTCAGGGCCTCAGGTCTGGTAGAGTTAATAAAAATTTGAACATATTTAGTCACATTAAATTCCCCCCCCCCTCCCCCGCCCCTCAGAATACATAAATGTATATAAAGGAATAAACAGAGTGAAGCATTCAATGGAATACATTCCCTAGTAAAAAAAACAACAACACGTATTGGGTGACTCATGATGTGACCCCATGACCTCTACCATTGAGGCTTACAGGAAAATGTTTACATCAACTTGCTCTAAAAAGCCATTATGGTTAAAAGGAAACAATCCTTAATGCCATTCTTAGTTACTATATTCATATCCTTGCGTATCGCACTCTGCAAAGGTGCACATAGAACCAATGGAATTTAACGATGCTTTTTTAGAACAGGTCACAAGTCGCACATGGCGATATATTAGAATGTGTCTGTGTCATAACCTGAAGTGACTAGGCTGAGTCTTCTTGGGTGACAGGGTTAATAATAGACTACAATGGCTAAGACATGTGACAGTCGACAGAGAGACAAAAACTGTGTACAGAAGGGAGCTGAACAGACCATGACCACAAGGCAGACCAAGAAGACAGTGGAGAGAAAATATCCAGGCAGACCTACAAACATTTGGAGTCACCAACTAGAAACAGAACGCCAATAACAGATAAATGGAGGAGGGTTTAATTGTAGTAAAGAACCTGAAGAGCTCTGAATGCTGAAGAAGAAACTGATGGTTTAATTAATTTAGCTTCCTCAAATGTTATCTCCCTGCTTGAGTTTTGGACCCTTCTTGTGGAGGCGAAGACAAGAATACTGTTTAAGAATGTATTAAATGTGACCATTTGAAGGTTTAATGAAATTGGTTATGTTGGGCCAAAAGACACAGGTATCGCAGTCTAGCTTTAAACCAAAAAAGCCAATCAGTCTTTCAAGGTCAGGCGAAGAAGAGGAGGAAAGGTTAATGCGGATAATAATACACATTAATAATAATGATATCTCTTAGGTAAAAATAATGATGCAGATTATTTAAAAAAAGAGCCAAAAATTTAACACTAAACAGTTTGTTAAAACTTACATGTCTGGCTTTGACTTGCTGCAGGGCATTAATACATTTCTGAAAGACAAAGAAATATAATGGAATAATAATAGGAGACCAATAAGAATCAGTTAATGTTTTCAAATTTAGTAGTGCACATTTTTAACTTACATGAATGTTTTAAAATCAAACAATGCTGTTCCCATTAAAATTGAATGTTCTTAGGCTTCTTCTGTCAACAAATGCCTGCAGAAGTTGGATGTGTTGGCAAATATCACAGCCATGCTGTAAACGGGCACAGTAATTTTATCTTCGTATGAACGCAGAAGAAGAAGAAGGTTTTAAAATAATTTTGTTTAAGGCTGACATAAAAGCAACTGAATAAGAATGAACAAACTTGTATTTGTGGGTAGTGTTCAGGTGGGTGGATGCGTTGGTGGCAAGCGTATGTGGGAGCTGTGTGTGTAAGTGTGTGAGTAGTGTATGTGCTTATGTAGAAAATGAGTGGTGTGTGTGAATAGGTGGATAGGTGGTGTGTGAGTGGGTGGATAGGTGGTGAATCAGTAGGTGGTGTATGTGGGTTGGCGGATAGGTGGTGTATGGATGAATCAGTAGGTGGTGTGTGTGGGTGTGTCATGGGTGGATAGGTGGTGTACGGGTGAATCAGTAGGTGGTGTATGTGGGTTGGCGGATAGGTGGTGTACGGGTGAATCAGTAGATGGTGTATGTGGGTTGGCGGATAGGTGGTGTATGGATGAATCAGTAGGTGGTGTGTGTGTGGGTGGATAGGTGGTGTACGGATGAATCAGTAGGTGGTGTATGTGGGTGCGTCATGGGTGGATAGGTGGTGTACGGGTGAATAAGTAGGTGGTGTGTGTGGGTATGTCATGGGTGGATAGGTGGTGTACGGGTGAATCAGTAGGTGGTGTGTTTGGGTGGGTGGATAGGTGGTGTACGGATGAATCAGTAGGTGGTGGTGTGGGTGGGTGGATAGGTGGTGTACGGGTGAATCAGTAGATGGTGTGTGTGGGTGGGTAGATAGGTGGTGTAGGGTGAATCAGTAGGTGGTGTGTGTGGGTGGGTGGATAGGTGGTGTACGGGTGAATCAGTAGGTGGTGTGTGTGGGTGTGTGTGGGTGGGTGGATAGGTGGTGGGTGGGTGGGTGGATAGGTGGTGTACGGGTGAATCAGTAGGTGGTGTGTGTGTGTGTGTCATGGGTGGATAGTTGGTGGGTGGGTAGGTAGGTGGTGTGTGTTGATGTGGGTGGGTAGTTAGGTGGTTTGTGTGGATGTGGGTGGGTAGGTAGGTGGTGTGTGTGGATGTGGGTGGGTAGGTAGGTGGTGGGTGGTTGGATAGGTGGTGTACGGGTAAATTAGTAGGTAGTGTGCGTGGGTGTGTCATGGGTGGATAGGTGGTGTGTGGGTAGGTAGGTGGTGTGTGTTGATGGGGGTGGGTAGGTAGGTGGTGTGTGTGGATGTTGGTGGGTAGGTAGGTGGTGTACGGGTGAATCAGTAGGTGGTGTGTGTGGATAGGTGGTGGGTGGGTAGGTAGGTGGTGTGTATGGATGTGGGTGGGTAGGTAGGTGGTTGTTGTGGATGTGGGTGGGTAGGTAGGTGGTTGGGTAGGTGAGTAGTGTGTAGCGGATAAGTAGTGTGTAGCAGATGAGTAGTATGTAGCGGATGGGTAGTGTGTAGTGGATCGATAGTGTGTGGTTGGTTGGATATTGTCTAGATGGATATGAATGGTGTGATGGTAGATAAGTTGTGTGTGTGTTTGTGTGTGTGATAGATTAATAGTGTGTAAATGTGTGGGTGGATCAGTAGTGTGTGTGTGTAAGTGAATGCAGTGTGTGGGTGATGCGTACTGTGTTGGTGGAGGGGTCATGTATGGATGGAGAAATGGTGTACTGGTGGAGGAGCGGTGTGTGGGTGAATGCAAAAATGAGTGGATGGATAGGAGATGATGTGTGGTGGATGGATGGTGTGTTGGTGGATGGATAGAAAGCATGTGGGTGAATGTGAAGGTGGTGTGTGGGGTGGAGCAGAGGAAAGGTTAAGTGAGAGCTAAGAATTTACAAGTATATAGTTACAAGAACTCTTTTAAACCCAATGATTCAAACACTAACCGTGAAGACCTTGTCTCGAGTGCACACCATCAACACAGGCATGTTCTTGTCTACCAAGGCCAGAGGGCCATGCTTCAGTTCTCCAGCAAGAATACCCTCGGAGTGCATGTATGTCAGCTCCTTTATTTTCTGTAAAGAAGTGAGAAACATTGCCGGTAAAATATCTGGTCTTAATGAGAAACAGTGCCGGTAAAATATCCGGTCTTAATGAGAAGCAGTGCCGGTAAAATATCCGGTGTTAATGAGAAACAGTGCCGGTAAAATATCAGGTGTTAATGAGAAACAGTGCCGGTAAAGTATCAGGTGTTAATGACAAACAGTGCCGGTAAAATATCAGGTGTTAATCCCGTCACTTTAAAAAAGCATTTTCGGCTCATGCCATCATACAGTAAGAGCTGCTTTCCCAGCTTGCTATGGTAGCTTGTTTCCAAGAAATATTTTATTATTATCATCAAGTGCATTGCTGACTTGCACGTGCGATCATGCCTCTCCACAATCTGCGATCTGCAACTGCATGTATCAGTTCCTGTGTTGAAATTCCTCCATTTCATGACAAAAGGCTGTCAAGAATCTTTTCGTGCTGCCTTCCATTGTCTCTCTTTCCAGTGGTCGCATGTTCCAGTTTCCCTCTTCTCAAAACATGACCCAACACCCAAAAAATGATGTCTTTCTCTGTCTGATGTTTGTGATAAGTTGTCTTTGAGCCCTCACCACTTTCAAAACATCTGGGTTGCTCTTTTTAGTAGTCCAAGTGGTGTGGGAGAAGACAGACCCAGTGCCTGCCACCCCCCCCCCCCCCCCCCCCCCCCCCCCCCCTTTTAAAAAAAACCAAGCATCTCATAACAGGTGAGAAACCAATAGTCTGCAAACAAATAAGCCAGATACGTCATATGGATGTACATGCAAAATGTAAATTCTAAAACAATACCAAACTCCACAAAAGGAGTATTATCCACCACAGTTTACAGCTGATGGACGCCAACAAGAAGAGAAGGAGACATAACTGAAAATGTTACATCACCAAACTCACTATAAATATACTGTTAAAATAAACAAAAACAGAAAAGCATAGTTATAAAATGGCATGTTTTTTATTAGCTGATGGGAAAGCCCGAACACCTAAAAACTATCACAGACCCAGATGCAAAAAAAAAAAACAACAAAAAAAAACTGTGAACTGACTGGTTGAACCTAAGATATTCTAGTGTGCAATTTGAACAATTTCACTCAATAAATTACATAGATTTTGAATTTCAAAATTATGCCAGAATAATGTTCCTTTCAGTAACAATAGCCCTAATTTTTTTTAACACAGAAAGCACAGTGAAATTTTTTGAAGAAAGAAAGCACAGAGGAAATCTTTGCGGTTTGTGTGTGCACGTGGGACAGTTTATACAGTTTAACCTCGTTTAACGAGCATAATTCACCCCAGAATCATACTAGTAAAGCGTAACACAAAAAAAAATTTCTCATATAAATTAATGTTAAATACGATAATGCGTTCCATCGAAAAAATACTCACAAAATGTTATGTTTAACGTTTATTTAAAGAAAATTATAAAAATATTGTAAAGGAGAGTAAATCATCTTCTTCTTTTCTTCCACCACTGAACGAACCCACCTGGAATGCGAATTCGATTTGCAGAAAGAAAAAAAAGGTCGAAATAATTATGATACATAGCTAAGTATTTTTTACTATAAAGATGTCTAGAGACATTTGTTTTCGCTGATGCTTCAAAATTTGGGGAAAATGCGACACAACATTATCATTAAAAAATTTGCAAGCATAGCCACTTCCTTATTAGGGGGATGCTTCTCAATTTAAGATGCAACAGTTTCCCATGCTTTCAGCATTTCTCTTATTTCGCCAGAAGATAGTTGCTTTTCTGTTACCTCCTCCTCCTCCTCATCTGACAAACTTTCCTCCAAAACTTCTTGCTGTGAAACACAATGCAACACTCCATAAGCTCTTCGGTGGTCAGCTCTTGACTGTGCTTTTCCACAAGCTCTTCGATATCACTGTTATCCACCTACAATCCCATTATAGTGGCCAAAGACACAATCTCGTTGACTACAGGTTCCACAGGTACTGTCTCAAACCCTCTCAAAGTCACATTCGACAACGCTCTCTGGCCAAAGCTTCTTCCAAGCAGAAGTTATGGTTCTCTTGGTAACCCCTTCCCACGCCTTGTCGATCTTCTTTATGCAGGCAACGATGTGGAAGTGATTTTTCCAAAACTCTTAGAGAGTGAGGTTGGTCCCTTTAGTCACCTGAAAACAATGCTCGAAGAGTGCTTTAGTGTAGAGCTTCTTAAATTTAGAAATAACTTGCTGGTCCATTGGCTGGAGTAACGGGGTGGTGTTGGGAGGCAGAAACTGGATCCTGATGAACTTAAATTCTTCAGGGAGGTCATCTTGTACATATATCACAATATAAAACAAGTTTGAGAAAATGTGTGATCACAAGTGACACTACGATGTTACTGGAACAAGTGCACTGGAACACAAACTGATGTAACAAGCGCACAATCCGGGACTTTCCCTCTCCTCGCCACTCATTATGCGAAACATCGCTTGTTAAGCAAGTCATTCTTTTACAATTTGTTTTGCTCGTTATGCAAATTACTCGTTATTAGAGGTGCTCGTTAAGTGAAGTTCTACTGTATTTGGTTTCCCTCCAAGTTCTGTAACTTACCAGAGCTCCCTCTAGACATGTAGCATAGTTATATCCCCTGCCCATAACCAACAGAGATCTTTGTGAGTACATCTCTTTGGCCAGATTTTTTATTTTCTCATCTAAAGACAGCACTGTTTTGATTTGATCTGCAATAGATTTAAAAACCAAAAAATTAAAAATAATATTTACTGTTATATACTACACTAAAATCACATTAGTATGAACTCACATAAGATTAGCACTGTTAACATGATTACAATTTTGGTCCCCTCAGCGATTATCCTGTTGGCAAAATTTTCTTATCTCAAATTCTTGACATTTTTGTTTCCATCTGGAATTTAGTTTTAAAAAGTTTTACCATACTTTAGCAGTTCTCAACCTGCCAGTCGTGACCCTTTTTTGGGTCAAAAGACCCTTTCACAGGGGTCACCTCAAACCATCAGAAAACATATATTCGTTTAAGTTATGAAGGGAAATAATTGTCTGGGGGTCGCCACAACCTGAGGGAACTGTACTAAAGGGTTGCGGCATTAGGAAGGTTGAGAGCAATTGTCATACATGAAAACTTGTTTAATGATAATATTATTAAGAATAGTAAAATTTATGGTGCTTTCTTCATGTCCTACCACAAACAGGGAAAATCCACAGGTCACGGGGCAGTCAAATATTTTAGGGGGTGGTAGATTGGCTGAATGCAGTCGTGGGACCTAGGCTGCATGCAGTCGTTGTACCTAGGCTGCACTCTCTCATGGGACCTAGGCTGCATGCAGTCGTGGGACCTAGGCTGCATGCAGTCGTGGGACCTAGGCTGCACTCTCTCATGGGACCTAGGCTGCATGCAGTCGTGCGACCTAGGCTGCACTCTCTCATAGGACCTAGGCTGCATGCAGTCATGGGACCTAGGCTGCAAGCAGTTGTGCAAAAAGCATCTGTCATGCTTAACAATATATGGAACTGGACAAAAAACCAACAAAGGAAGAAGATATAGATGGCTTGAACTTATTTATAGAATACCTCATAACACTTTGGCCAGGACCACCACAGATACAAAAAAATAGATGTGGAAAACCTAAGAAAATCTGGAAAAGGACAGCAGAAAGGAAAATTGAAGAATGAAAAATGACAAGGGATACCTTAGGCAGGAAAACAGCAGACCAGCAGCAATGAAGATCACTGTGTGTCAACAGCGACATGACGAGAATATAAGTGTACATCAGACTACTCTAGAAGAACAATCAAACAACTCTAGAAGAATAATCAAACAACTTCAGCTCCCCCCAAAAATGTATAGAATAACAATCAAATAACTACAGATAAATAAATAAACATCTCTAGTAGAGCCATCAAACTAGCAGAATATTCAAATAATTATAGAATAGCAATCAAACAACACTAGAAAAATAATCTAACAACTCTAGCACAACAAGCAAATAATTCTAGAATAACAATTACATAGGTTATGTGCGTATCCTTTAAAGGACGTTGCAGAATCAACCCCAACAGCCCCTGGCTGTTGAGTGGTTTTTCTAGGCAAATTTTCACCCAGTAGTTTGCCACTGCTTTCTGGACGCTCGACTTTCTTGATACCACTGTTGAAACCAACACAAGGTGCATGGCCCGTAACTGGGATCGAACCCGGCATCCCGGCGCTACGAAGCGTTCGCATCGGCTTAGCCACAAAGCCAACAACAATTACATAACTATAGAAATTTTTTTTTTTGAAATTAAAAAAAAAAATACAATTCTTGTAGAGCAATTCAATCAAATAATTCTAGAAGAGCAAAGAAACAAATCTAGAAGAATCATAAAACCCTAGAATAACAATCAAACAACTAGTTTAGCAAATCAAACTAGAACAACAATCAAACAACTCTAGCAAAACAATCATTCAAATCAAAAAGAACAATTAACAAATTCAAAAGAACAATCAAAGAACTCTAGCAGAACAATAAAAAACTCTAGCAGAACAATCAAATCCAAAAGAACAATCAACAAATTCTAGCAGAACAATCAAACAGTGCCAGAAAAACAATCCGACTACTTGAGTAGACAGTAAATCAACTCTAAAGAACAACCTAACAACTGCAGAAAAGCAATCAAACAGCTCTAGATAAACAATCAAACAACTATGCAAAAACAATCAAACAACTCTAGAGAAACAATCAAACAACCTGAGAAGTATAATCAAACAGCTCTAGATAAACAATCAAACAACTATGCAAAAACAATCAAACAACTATGCAAAAACAATCAAACAACTATGCAAAAACAATCAAACAACTATGCAAAAACAATCAAACAACTCTAGAGAAACAATCAAACAACCTGAGAAGTATAATCAAACAGCTCTAGATAAACAATCAAACAACTATGCAAAAACAATCAAACAACTCTAGAGAAACAATCAAACAACCTGAGAAGTATAATCAAACAGCTCTAGATAAACAATCAAACCACTCTAGAACCAAAAAGCTCAATGAAGCCAAAGGAAAATATATAATTGTTTGATTATTGATTGTCTGATTAGTCTGTTGTTTTTTCCTTTGATGAAGACTGCTCGAAACATTCGTGAGCACCTACCTTTTTTCCTTCCCTCCATTAAGCTTTTATCATAGTTTTGTGTTTAGTCACTTAATAATATCAGCTTGACAACACTAATTTCTATGTATATCAACAAGTTCTAATTACCCGGCAACTGCTTGAGCCCAGCAATAATCTCCCTCCTTCTGGCCTGCATGGAGATCCTGTCCTCACTCATCACAAGAGCAAACAAAATCAGAGACACAAACTGGCTGGTGTAAGCCTGAAAAATCAAACATGGCAGACAGTGTAGCTTTCATTTCCATGTGAGAATTAAAAGTGCAAACAATTACATCACTTTTTTCCCCAAAACCAATCAGGATATCTCTGTCTTGAAATAAAATAAATGTTAATACTTCTTCTTCTTCTTCTTTGTGTTCGGTTTGATTTGCACAGATCAGACCATCCGGTAGGTTGCCTCTATGAACTCGCATGTCAGCAACAGGTGCTTCATGGTTCCCCATAGCTTGCTCTGCACACTTTGCTTTTGAGGCCACGTGTCTTTTCGCAGTTGTAGGTAGAGTGGGCAGATCTGCAGAATCTGCTCAGGTGTTTGTGGTCATGTTTGACAGGCACACTGTGAGGACTCTACAATCTTTATTTTATGCTGGTGGTAGTTGAGTCTGCAGTGTCCTGTTTGTGGACGAAATATTGTTGCTTGTTGCTTTCTCTGCTGATGGAGTCTTTTGGATGTTTACTGTCAGTTTAAAGTTAGGCAGCTGGCAAAAAACTAAGACAGACCAGTGTTCTGAAGTGGGTAGTCTTCAGCGAAAGATTGTAGTTTATTTTTGTCCTCGGAGCTGGTGAACGGATCAGTTCATGTGTATATTTTGTTCTCACTGAGAATTTAAGGGGTTTGCTATTTAAAATCATACAGACACTGTACATCCACAAGGAACAACATTCAAAATTATAACCTGAACATCATGAAACAAAATGTCTGATTTAAATTACCAGCGAAATATACAAGGTTTCTTGCACAAAGACATGCACTTATTGACCCCATAAACTAGCTACTCATTCAACAACACTTAAACTTAATTTAAAAAGGGTTTTTGAAGGTGAGAGAAGATTGACATGCACCGGGTTTTATTCTGTATGACTGTCTCTCTCGAAAGAGTGACTGGTCACTCATCAAGAACATTGCACAAAGCACGACATCTGTACTTCCTGCAAGACCCTCTGGAGTCTTAGATACATATATTCTATCAAACCAAATCAGAACTCATGACCTTCAAAGTGCAAGGCAACTTGCTTAACTACTTACCTTTGTGCTGGCCACTCCAATTTCAGGCCCTGCATTAATATGTACTCCACAGTTAGATTCCCGAGATATGCTTGAACCTACAACATTAGTCACTCCCACGATCAAGGCACCTCGCTGCTTACAGTACCTCAAGGCCAGAAGGGTATCAGCTGTCTCTCCTGAACAGACAGAGACAAGAAAACAATGGACTGGTTATAAATATCTTCAGTTCAGACAGAAGACAACATGGGTACATTTAAGATATATATTTTTCATTCACACAAACACACACACACACACAAATCATCATCATCATGCAGTAAGTCCTTCAATGAAAGGATTTTATCTTGGTCCGCCAATGAGAACCAACTTCATGTATAACTAATTATTGCTCATGTAGTTCAAAGGTAATGATGATAATACAGAGCCACTCAAATGCACTTATGCATTTATTTATACTATCAAGTACATGTTAATTAGACACTGTGGAATTGAGATGTCTGAGAAGGGCTGCAGGAGTGACCAGAAGAGATAAAATCAGAAATGATGTCACAACAGAAAAAGTTGGGGCAGAACCAATTCTAAATTACATACAAAGACAGTAAATCAAATGGTTTGCCCACTTAGAATGTTTTGTGATGCCATACAATACAAGACATACACCAAAAGAGGAGAAGGATGTTGAGCACAAGGCAGACCAAGAAAAATATGGAAAGATAACATCAGAGAAACTCTACAACAGCATGATCGGTATCGGTATACATACATGGAGGCTGTCGGTCCTTTTCAGGGCCCTCCCACACCACCACCCCAAGATGACCTTTTTTAGGGTCCCTGTTTAAACCAAAATTTACAAGTCGCCGAGTGAATTACACAGACAGTGAACTTCATACCAGAGACAGCACTGCAGATACAGATAATCTATTTAGTGTGGATTAAAGAAGAAGAGAACAAACCCTTATCCTAACCACACATAATAAAGAACATAATTCTGGGAACTCCCTACCAAATCTCGCAGCCCCTGAGGTAGGGTGAAAAGTGGAGAAGAAACGCAAAATGTGTCAATGGTAGAGGTGGCCAGAAGAGCAAGAAGCAAAACTTTAAATCTCCCTTGATGCCTAAAGTGGTAAAAGAGAATGCTAAGAAGAAGGAGAAGAAGTACACATTACAGTTCGCTTGACAGTAACCATACTCTTTCACAGGATGCAGAGGTTCTAAACCAAACGTGGCAGTGCATCAGAACCAGGGCTCATACTGGACAAAACCTACCTGCACCTGTTCATGGTCATCCTAGAAACTGTCCCCCAACTAGGATCCTTGACAAAATAGACAGGGTCATTTTATTTCTTTAAAGTCTGAGTGCATCTGCCTAAGAGGCAACGAAGCAACACTTATTATTAAGTGCAAAATACAAATTTTCTTGATAGCAAACGGTGCCATACGCCTGTGTGTCACCGGGGCCCTCACGGGAAGCAAAGAATAGTGACACTGCACCCTACCAGGCATGTCGTAAGAGGTGACTAAGGGTAGGGTTGGGCTTGAGGTTGGCTACCTCATCCTGTAAAAACCATAGCCACAAAAACCAACCAACCATGGATAAGTCAAAAAGAGAAGCAAATAAAATCCAGCCAACCAAGATGAGGGGAGGCTCTTCAAATAGAAGAAGTATGACACGGTGTGGAGAAAGCCGTAAGGAGTCCGGATTGTTGACTTACCTCCTCTCAGCTAGGAAAACCTCCAGAATTGGCACCTGGAATGTTAGAACTCTCTATGATATAGGGAGAACAATGGAAGTAGCAAAGGAAATGAAACATTATAGAATTAGTATTTTAGGGTTATGTGAAACTAGATGGACTGGGACAGGGAAAAGTATTCTTAATTCAGGAGAAACTATTCTGTTCTCAGGACACACAGAGGAAAATTCGCCGCACAGTAAAGGAGTGGCCCTGATGCTTTCAAAAGAAGCAGACAGGGCACTAATAGAATGGGAAGCTGTGAGTCCCAGAATAATAAGAGCATCTTTTAGAACAGTAAAACAGAAGGTGAACATGTCGATAATACAGTGTTATGCACCAACAAATGATAAAGATGCATCTGTTAAGGAAAGATTTTACATGCAGCTTCAAAATATTATAAATAATGAAAGAAAGGGCAACTTAAAAATTTTGATGGGTGACTTGAATGCTAAGATAGGATCAGACAACACAGGTTATGAAGAAATTATGGGGAGACATGGTCTAGGAGTAATGAATGAAAATGGAGAATTGTTCACAAATTTTTGTGCAGGTAACCAGTATGTTATTGGTGGAAGTATTTTTCCCCATAAAAGAATACACAAGGCAACATGGGAATCACCAGACCATAAGACAACTAATCAAATTGACCACATATGTATTAACAAAATGTTTAGATCATCCCTTTACGGTGTTAGGGCTTTCAGAGGTGCCGATGTATTTACTGACCATTTCCTGGTGATAAGTAAAATCAAGTTGAAACTAAAAAGATATATAACATCTTATAATCATAGAAACCAATATAATGTAGGCTTTCTCAGAGATAAAGAAATTAAGGAACAGTTCTCAGTTACGGTCTCTAATAAGTACCAGGTGTTGCAGCAGTTAGCTGAAGATATCAACACAGAAGTCTGCTGGGATCAGATCAAAGGAATCTGGAATGAATCTTGCGTAGAAGTTCTTGGCAAGAAAGAAAGGAAACATAAAGCATGAATAACACCAGAAACCATTAAACTGATTGAAGATAGGAAAAGTAAAAAGGCAGAATTAAACAATAGCAAAACTAGAGCTGCTAAAGCTAGAGCTCAGGAGAATTACACAGAAGCCAACAAGGAAGTTAGGAGGCATATAAGGGCAGATAAAGTGAAATATCTAAATGATCAAGCACAAGAAGCGGAGACAGCAGCAGCAAAAGGAAACCTCAGAGAACTTTACAGTAACACAAGAAAATTAGTAGGTAAATATAGTCAGCCAACTGGATCAATCAAAAATAGTCAAGGAAAGGTACTTACTAACACTAAAGATCAAATGGACAGATGGGTTGAATATTTTGAAATGCTTCTAAATAGACCAGGCCCAGAGGTTCCCCCAGATATCCAGCCTTTAGAAATGGAACTGGATATCAACTGTGAGATACCATCCAAAGAGGAAATTAGAAAAGCTATAAATCTTCTTAAGGAAGGAAAGGCGTCAGGCCCAGATGGTATCCCAGCTGAAGCCATCAGGACCAACAAAAACACATCAACAGAATTGCTACATAGATTATTCAGTAAAGTCTGGGAGACCGAAGAAATACCAGCAGACTGGAGAGAAGGATATCTTGTGAAACTGCCCAAAAAAGGTGATCTACAGGAGTGTGAAAACTATAGAGGAATTATGTTGCTGTCAGTTCCTGGAAAAATATTAAGTAGAATTATTCTGGAAAGATTAAAAGATGCTATTGATAAAATGCTAAGAGATGAGCAGGCAGGTTTTCGGTCAAACAGATCCTGTACTGATCAGATAGCCACATGATGTATTATTATAATAGAGCAAAGCATTGAACTGAACTCACCACTTTACATTGGATTTATAGACTATGAAAAAGCATTTGACAGCATTGATAGGGAATCTCTCTGGAAATTGATGGTGCACTATGGAATCCCACAGAAAATTATCAACTTAGTAAAGGCAACATATAAAGACATGAAATGTCGAGTTCTTCATGAGGGAAAGCTAACAGATGCATTTGAAATAAAAACAGGTGTGCGACAGGGATGTCTTTTGTCGCCTCTCCTATTTTTACTGGCTATAGACTGGACTATGAAAACAGTAACTGCTAACACCAAGAATGGAATTCAGTGGACCCCTACAAAACAGCTTGATGACAGGACTTCGCTGATGATATTGCCCTTCTGTCCCATTCACGGAATCAGATACAAGATAAATTAAATATACTTAATGCGAGATCACAGGAGCTTGGTCTGAAAATCCATAAAGGAAAGACAAAGATAATGAGAATAAATCAGGCAAATAGTAATGTGGTTTCTCTTAATGGCACCCCACTCCAAGATGTGGAGTCGTACACCTATTTAGGCAGTAATGTAGATAAAGATGGAGGAACTGATAGAGATATTAAAATAAGAATACAAAAGGCAAGAGGGGCTTTCATAGCACTAGGGAATTTGTGGAGGTCAAAAGAAATTAAAAGAAATACTAAACTAAAAATTTTTAATTCTAATGTCAAATCAGTACTATTGTATGGGGCGGAAACATGGAACAACGAAGGCAATTACTAATAAATTACAGACATTCATTAACTGGTGCCTGCGCAGAATAGAGGGAATAAAATGGTATGATAGAATAACTAATGTAGAACTTTGGGAGAGAACTAAACAGGCTCCAGTGGATCAGCAGGTGAGGAAAAGACGCTGGCGTTGGATAGGGCACACACTGAGAAAACAGGAGAACAGCATAACTAGAATGTCTTTGCATTGGAACCCACAGGGGCATAGGAATAAAGGAAGGCCAAAAAACACATGGAGAAGAGAGCTGGAGAATGAGGTTAGAAAGATTGGGAGGACATAGGGAGAGCTCCATGTAATGGCGAAGGATAGAACGACTTGGCGTGAGTTGGTTGAGGACCTATGCTCCATTGGGGGATAGAAAGGCAGAAGAAGAAACGGTGCCATTGGAAGTGGATGGCTTCGCTTGCTGCTGAAGATGGGGACGCAGCGCTTGGAAGTGTCCTAAGTGTTATGATGTCGGTTCTTAATTCAATATTCAACCAACAGTCTGCAGATAAATGAGCCAGATCTGTAAGACTATGTCTATGCAACACTTAAGTCCCGGAAAAAGACCAAAGTTTAGAAGTGGATGAATAACCAGAACTTTCTGCAGGAGTTTACAGCTTGTGAACATAAAGTTACAGCTGGTGAACATAAAGTTACAGCTGGTGAACATAAAGTTACAGCTGGTGAACATAAAGTTACAGCTGGTGAACATAAAGAAGAAGAAGAAAATGATTCTCTTTCATTAGTTTCTAGAGAAAAGTGATATTTAACAAATAAAACCACCCATACACACACACAAACTATACAACAGTAAAACCTACTGACCTGACTGGCTGATGAAGAAGACGACATCATCCCTAAATATGGGCGTGTTTCTGTCCAGGAAGTCACTCGCCAGCTCCACCATTACTGGCAATTCTGTTAACTCTTCAAGCAGCTGCCGTGTCTACAAGAGAGAATATAAAATCATCATTATCATGTGCCATGCCAATAAGTGTCAGATGTCATGTTTTCGCCATCTCACATGATCACCAGAATCAGGGATTTTCTTGTCTTGCCCCATCCACATGGCCATGCCATTAAGATATTTTTCACCTTGCCTTCTGCCTGCTCATTTCCCATCAATCTTGCCGGTTATTACCGAGGGAGTATACAAATGTTAATAGCTAAACAATGAATGTCAGACACAGCTCTTTCCATGTGGGTTCCAGGGCCCCATTGTTGGGGAAAACAAGAATAGACCCTCTGCCTCCCAACAAGCACTTAGTAGGAGTTTGAAGTCGGAATGCATCTGCCCAAGCGGGAAGGAACAACCAAGTGCACACAAATAAGCCAGTAAAATAGATGCACATGTAAAACTCAGGCCCTGGCACAAAGACCAACTGGATTGATGTACAACCAGGCCTTTCTAACAGAGCTTACAGCCAGTAAACAAAGAAGAAGATACAGCTCACAACAAATTTTTTTTTTTTTAACGGAGCTCAGCAGTAGCTTTGTGCATATACTTTGTTAGGGAATTGTACATGGTGATGCTCAAATCTCTTCCATGGTGTGACTCTCATACACTGTCTGAAAGTCAAGAGAACAGTAATTTTTTTAACATCTTGCCATAGAAAGTGAACCAAGGTACACCCATAAATGTGAAACACATAATAACTGTTAAACTAAAAACTGCAGAGAACACTTCTATTAATGTGAAATGTGTGATGATGATGTAATTTTCTGCATTTCTAAGTCTCTGAGATGCAGAGTGGCTAAAATTATTTTCCTTATGAATAGCACAGAAATTAGTGCAGATTTTAATTTAGAGATTTTTGTTTATTTAGAAACTTTGAATATAATGAAATTAGAAAACAATATACAACTATGAGAAAGAAGCATGTGGTGAGAAGGGTGCAGAGCGGTTATAATTATTTTCCTTATGAATAGCACACAAATTAGTGCAGATTTTAATTTAGAGATTTTTATATTTATAAACCTGTAATATAATGAAATTAGAAAACAATATATAACTATGAAAAAGAAGCATGTGGTGAGAAGGGAGGCATTAAAGACACACTCTCCTTTCAACGAAAAATACTTACAGCAACTGCGCTGTGGTAACTAGTACCACATGCTATGAAAATTAAGCGACGACAGCGTCTAATCTCTCCCATATAATCTGTAATGCCTCCTAGAATCACTTCCTGTGTGTCAAAGTTCACACGGCCCCTCATAGTGTTGAATACTGACTCTGGCTGCTCGAATATCTCCTTCTGCATAAATGAGCTGAAGTTGCCTGGTAGGACAATTTTTATTTTAATGGTTTGAAATCTGCAAAAACTGATTTGTTCTAGTTTGGTATGCAGATTCTTACTAATATGGGTAAAAAAGAGGATCATGGGTTAATGCCAAGCAAAGTAAAAGAATATCTATTATGGGGGGGGGGGGGGGGGGGGGGGGGAAGGGGGGGGGGGGGGACATAGCCCCTTCTGCAAATTTTCTATTTGGCGAGCACAAAGTAGACCAAGAGCTCCCGTAAATTACTTGCCGCTAAGCCCCAAATTTTGTTGTTGTTGGGGGAAGTTGGGGGGCCCTCGAGGTGCTGTCTGAACATCCGGGTTCTGTAAGGGCAGCAAACAATGGTAACACTGAAACCTTCCATGCTTTTTCTATTAGATGACTTTGGGTTTGTACTTTATCAAGGGGATGAAAAGCAGAAGAAAGAAGAGGAGCAGGGATAGACAGAAAAAAATAAAGATGGAGGTTGAAAAAAAGCAGAAGAAAAATAAAATCAAACCAAATATGAAAAAGACTACAAAATGCTAGGTGTGAGTTGGGTGAGGTGCTATGCTCCATCTGGAGACAAAAGAAGACACTAGCAATGGTACAAAAATACTGTAATGCTAGTAATTATGTCATTGCTCAACTTCATTCTTTCTGGATGACCAGTGCATCCAGACCTGTTTGATTTCACATTTGGCCACACTAAGTTGTGTATTAAAGTATTAAACAACTGAAAACCAAAATAGTGAAAAAAGTTGACAATAAATGATTTAAGTACAAATAAACAGATGACTCAAGATACAACATAGCTGTATGTATAGTGAAATTTCAAGAAAGAAAGTGTAGAGATATAATTGGATTGTCATCAGTAGCAGGACCAAATGGAACATCACGTCCATCCTGGCCAGCTGGAGACAGACTCTGCTCCTTGCTAATTCCCTTGAATCATCTTTGTTCAGACCTAAAGTGCCTCTAATGTCTTGTGTCCATCTACAATGTGCTAGTGGTCTTTGCAGCATCTTCTAGAAACCATGTCCACCATTATCTTTCTTTCTCAACTACTGTGGTATTTGTTGTTGTTTGTGTTCAAAGGCTGTAAACTGGTGGAAAGTCCTGGTTGTTCATCCATGTGTGGAATTTCTTCTAGAACTTGAATTTTGTGTGTGCCTCCATTTGTGCAGTTTGTTCTTTCCTTGCCTATTAAGCATATGCACTATGAACTTCAACGGAAATGTCAATCCTGTCTCTAGGATGACTGTCGCCAATCAGAACCTTTTGTTGTCATGTAGTAGAACTCTCAATCGAAATGTCAGAACCTTTGTCACTTAGTTACGGGTTTTACTACTGTCGTATGGAGTGGAAATATGGAGAACAACTAAGGCCGTTACTAATAAACTACAAACATTCATTAACTGGTGCCTGCACAGAACAAAGGGCATTAAATGGTGTAATAGAATCACTAATGTTGAGCTTTGGGAGTAAACTAAACAAGTTCCAGTGGACCAAGAGGTGAAGAAAAGATGCTAGCGGTGGTGCTGAGAAAACCTGAGAACAATATAACTAGAATGTCTTTGCACTGGAACCCACATGAGTATAGAAATAAAGGAAGACACACAAAAAAAAAACACAGAGAAAGAATCTGGAGAGTGAAGTTAAAAAGATGGGGAGGATATTGGGGACAGCTGCATGCGATAGCGAAGGACAGAACGACTTAGCGTGAGTTGGTTGACGGCCTATGCTCCATTCGGGGTTAGAAAGGCACAAGAAGAAGAGGTCTGACCCATGAACCTTGCTTACTAAACAATGAGTCCTCTACAGATGCTGCCAATTATGCTTTTGGGGTGGACTGATGAGTGCCAGAGGTTGTCCAGACACTGCTTCACTGGGAACCACCACTGACTCACTGAGGTTGCTGAGAAAGGTGGAGACAGGCATACTTCGTGCAAGCCTCACTTCAGAGGTCCCGAGTTGTTAGCATCCTTTGGATATTTTTCTCCAGGTCACGCCGGTGTGTTGGGAAATGAGCGGATAGACTGGCGGGTTCTGCACCACTTGGTGGTGAACTGATATATGACAAGCCAAATTTTGTGAGGGCCCTTTGGGAGCGAGTGAACAGTGCCGAGGAACAGATAGATCATTATGGTCTGAGGAGAATGGCACTGCGAGGAGTTACAAAAGGATCTGGCTGACGCTCAACACTCGGGGGAGGGGCGAGACGGATATACAGTCAGAATGTAACTGGTGCCATCGGAATTTTAACTCTTCGCTTGCTGTTGAAGAAGGGGACAGAGCGCTTCTGGGAGTGTCCCGAGTGCTGTGATGTCGATTCTTAATTCAACATTCAACATTTGGGAACCACTAGCTCCAAGATGCCCTGCTATCTCTGATTAGACAAACATAGGTCATTATCTGAGGTGCATAACAAGGATGTGTGGCAGGAGTCTTGCATGAGGGTCTGTAAAACCAGCTCACTGCAGCATTTAACTAAGCCGTACCAAAATTCTCTTACTGAGATCTGATCCTGTTTATAAGTAAGTTTTCTTGGATGATTAGATTTTGTAGAAAGTCAGTAATTTATTTATTCCCTAACTACCTGCCACTGCTGTAGCACTGCTCCTAACTACCTGTGTAATCCAACATAACTGCCAACAGTCATCAGCTGTGACCCAAACTCTAACCTTTCATGATCTGTTCAATCTCCATTTTGAGAGTGCACACCTCCCTGTGGGTGCTCTCATCCAGTGACCGGGACACCCGATGGATGTTGAGCACACCTTCATGAATTGATGCCACATCATTCTCCTCCAGAAATATCACCTGGTTAGTATGCTCGATGAAAGCACTGGAACAAGTCAAACGTACAGCAATTACTGATTCAGTAGTATACCAATATGTATGTACATGATAAGGAGAAGCCATCACATTATCTTTTCAAGAATAAGTCTTTGTGCAGGCCATAAACCTGGCAGGGAGAAGTGACATGTTCTGAGGTTTCATACCAGGAAAGCATTTTTTTTTATGGACACTACATAAAGCATCTTTACATACAATGGTAAAATAGACATAGAGATAGAAATGAGAATCCAACAAGCCAACAATGTCACTACCAACTTGCTCTAATTTTAAAACACCCTGCTATCACAGTAGAAACAAAAAGACAAATTATAAATACAATATTTATACCGATTTTAGGTTACCAGTGTCAGACTTGGACACTGACAAAGAACATGAGCGAAAACTAACCACCTGCGAGATGAGATGTTTGAGAATTGATGTGAATAAAACCAGAAGAGACTGAATGAGAAACGAGGCGATCACAAGAACTGTTGAAACAACACCCATCGTAAAATTTATTGAGAAACAAAGAATGAAATGGTCTGGCCATCTAATGAGAATGAAACCAATGATGCCAGCAGCAAGAGCGTACAACCTGAAAATCGAAAAAAACCAAGAGGCAGGGGAAGACCGAGAAGAAGATGGATTGAAGGAGTCACTGACACCTTGAGACAGCATAACATCACAGCACATCAAGAGACTGAGCATGAAACTGGCTGAACAGTTAAGAATGTTAACTCTCGCACATTTGAATTCTCAGACACAGGTTTCAATTCTCTCCAAGTCAATTTTTTTCTCTGTGTGTGTGGGGGGAGGGGTGGGGGGTAAAAAAAGGCAAAGTTTGTAGTGGGGGGGTTTTAGAAAAGTAAACAGTTTGTATGACTGCACAGTTTGTGGTGACTACACAGTTTGTGGTGACCGCACAGTTTGTGGTGACCACACAGTTTGTGGTGACCGCACAGTTTGTGGTGACTGCAGTTTGTGGTGACTGCACAGTTTGTGGTGACTACACTAGCCATGCAACTCTAAATCCTCAGGCTCACAAACACCCGCTGACACAGCAAAAGTGGTAAATACAAGCAGTTATAGCAGTGGAAGGCATTGTGCCTTGAAGAACAGCTGACCATCACAGGATACTGAAGACATCTTGAGAATGTTGAATGTTGAATTAAGAATCGACATCACAGCACTCGGGACAATAACAAAGGTGCTCTGTCCCCTTCTTCAGCTTGTGAAGAATTCCAGTTCGGATGGTGCCAGTAACCGCCTGATTGTATATCTGTCTCATCCTTCCCCTGAGTGTTGAGCGTCGGTCAGATCCCCTTGTGACTCCTCACAGTGCCATTCTCCTTAGACTGTAATGATCTATCTGCACCTTGGCACTGTTCACTCGCTCCCAAAGGGCTCTCACAATAGCTAACTTGTGGACCATGAAGAAGAAAAATAAATGATATTTTACCAATCCTGAACATCGACGATAACTGGCACATGAAAGCATAATGTCTCGGAAGTTAAAATACCTTGGCGATATCAAATGCCTCAGTGGTTTTCAAAGTACAATAATGGTAGGCATGTTTTCTGATTGAAGATGATAAAAGGGGGAGAAGGGGGGGGGGGGGGGGGTGTTGGAAGCAACTAGCATGATGATGGACACGGCAGACTTAAGATACTCTTGGCATCATAATGAATCATGCAGGAATATTGCCAAATGACAAACTAAGCAGTGTTTTGATTGCAAACTCAGCAAAGGACCTGCTGCATAATTATGGTGATAGTATAAAAATTAAATAAAGTAGTAGGAAGTAATAAAGTATTGTCATTACACATTCTTGGCATCAGAAACAAAACAAAACAGCACACATACCTGGCATCAGATGCAAAAAAGTATTCTATTTCTTTGTGAGGACCTACTGGGTGGTACTCTGTGTCTTCCTTTCTGCTTAGGCTGCTATTGCCAAATAGGCCACGATGATCTGAACAAATTTAATTTCTAATTTTAATTCAGTAATATTTTTTTAAAGAAGATATTTCAAACCTGAAGAAGAGCAGAAGAAGAAGAAGGATTAAAATGTAAACGAGGCAATTAATTTATTACATATTTTTAAAAATAAAAGATTTAATTTCCAAATTCTAGTTTTCTAAAGATACACATAATAACTGAATTAACAGACACACCATTTATGTGCCTCCACTTTGATGACAGAGATGCTTGTCAGTTCCAAAGATCACAAGAATTGTGCCAATGGAAACTTTGGTACTGGTAGGCTCGCCATGATACAGTCTTTGGCAGGCTTCTGAACCAGCTACATACACAAATTGTGATTGTAACTGACTCACAAAGCTTGTTAGGGTAGTTAGTGTTCTTCAGATATTTCCTCCAGCTAGGCAGGAGTGTTGAGAAATGAACAACCAGACAGACTGGCTGGTTCTGGCCCTATGGGTGGTGAACTTATGTATGACAAGCTAGATGTGGTAAAGGTAGCAAATGAACAATGTGGAGGCATGGATGGATCATTATTGTCTGGAGAGAATGGTACAACTAGGACTGACCAGGGGATTTAGTCGACACTTTTCACTCAGAGGCAAGATGGACATACTATCAAACTGCTACTGGCACCATCAGAACTGGAACTCTTTGCTGGCTGCTGCAGATGAAGATGGAGCACTTATGTGAATGTCAGGAGTTATGTCAGTTCTCAGCTTTTATAAAAAAAATATCTCCAACTTTAGGTGAAGAATGGATAAATCAAGACTTCCTTACCAAGCCCTCATTTGGACACCACAGGGGAAAAGATCTCGTGGAAGACCAAGGGAAACCCTACGTAGAACTATCATCAGGGAAGGCTCGCTCATGGGCCACTCAAACATCCAAGACCTACAACGGATTGCAACGAACCGTCATGCATGGAGAGTCATGACCTCTGCCCTATGTGCCGCACTCGACACAAGAGGAAAGACTAACTAGGTGAAGGGATAGGAGCCAGCCAAAGACACAAACCTGCTACCTTGCAGGTAGTGCAGAGTTCAAATACTGATGGTACCGGTAACAGTCTGGTTATATGTCCATCTTGCCCTTCCTCTGAGTTACACTGGTTACACCCAGGTGCCTCATTCTCTCCAGGCCATAATAATCTTCTTTCTCTACTAATTTGTTGCTTGTTTCCACAGGGCCTTGACCACATCTGCCTTGTCATGTATCAATTCACCACCCAGTGGTGCGGATCCAGCCAATCTTTATTCACTGATTGAATAGTTTGGTAATCTAGTAAGAATACAGTCAGAACAACTACCACTGCAGCCAATCTGACTCTCTGTTCATTACCCACTACACTGGCATGGCCTGGAGAAAAGATCCAGTATGCTCACTATGATCTCAAGATGGCATAGCAATAAAGAAATACTGCATGACTTCTTGCAGAGAATTCGATATAATTAACTGATCTACGACCCTCTTGCCCAGTGGTTTTATAGGTGAATGATGAGAATACTAAGAACAGATAAAAAGAGTAATAAAGATGTCTTGAAAGAAATTAACTTACACTGAGTTGTTGTTGAAATATCCAGAAACCACGAGTTGTTAACCCTTAGGCTCGGTATTATGGATATCGCAACCCTTCGGCCTTGATTCCATGATAGGTACCGTAAATCTGGGAGAAAATGTGGTTTTTCTGCCTACCCCTGGGAGTGAACCCGGACCACAAGGAGTTCGTCACCCGGTCACCGCGCAGTCCAGTTTAGCCAACTACGCTAGAGAGCCGGGCAACATACACTGAGAAAGAGACAATCTACTTTATTTAATCTTCTCAGGAGAACCAGAAAACTAGATTATATCATGACAGTTGGAAAGTTAGAGGGGAAAAGAAGCAGAGAGAGACCAAAACAGAGGATGCTGGACAGTCTGACATTGTGGCATCTGTATCAGAAATGACTGAAATGACAGGAGACTGAAGGTTGTGGATATGCCTACCAATTCCATACAGCATGGACCATTAGTAGAAGAAGATGACCATTCTTTGCAAAGTTCCTTAACTCTAACCAGGTTTCTAATCTCCACAGTTTTTTCTCAGGCTGCCACTGACTGGCAGAGCTCTAATTTTTTTTTTTTACCTCTCGAGGTAAAAGATAATCCTGTAGCAATTACAGAACACCTTCATTAATACGAACTCGCTTAGGACAAACATTCGGTTAACAAGAAAACAATTTTGGCCCCAACAGGGATGAATTAGTCATAATAAATTTATTAGTCCCCAGTTAGCACACATTATTTTACCACAGATTCTTGATTTTTCAGTTCCCTGGAATTTGTACTAACAAGATTTTACTGTACCACCATTAAACCTTTGGAGACAGAACCTTTTTGGAGTTCAATCTTTCTCATTCTCCTTGTGGGATGCAATTTTTCATTATTCTGAAGCCCCACCCTGGCTGTTACCAGGGGGCGCAATATAAGCTTAATGGTTGAATGCCGTTTTCAGGATTTCTCCCCGGGTGAGCCTCATCCGCACAGTGGCACTTTCTGTCACCGGGTGTTTATCGCTCTGTGTGATGTCCTAGTAGAGTAAAATTTACTTACTTACTTTTGGAGTTTCAGTGCTAAAAAGACAGAGCCTACAGGAGGGGATTCTTTTAGTTTACACACACAAAATTATAAGAAATAAAGTGTTTAATTAACATACATAAAACTATGTATAATCGTGTAGGAAATTGAATGAGCTAACAGAATATTTATGAATCAAACTGAAATCTCATCATTTCTTCAAATTAACCATTCTGATTTGCATGATTTATGCAAGCATATTTTTAAACTAGGGAACACACATGACAAACCTGAAAAATTTGGGTGCATTTTTTGACATATGAAGCCTACATAAGTCCTAACACTCCTGTTTTGGGAAGTAAGGCCCATGGAGGCCCTTCAGACACTTCTGGCACATGGTTCTTCTCTTTGTTCCTGCATCTTGCTATACAAGACAGTCCTTTTTGCCATTGTTGGTAACCCCCACAAAAAATTATTGTCACATGGCAGAACATATTAAACTATCTCGAAAGCCATCACTGAACAGCCAATATGTGCAAGAAATGCTAGAAGCAAGCTTATTGGCTGGTACAAAAACCTGTCAGCCAATCCCAAGGATTGTATTATATAGATCAGCCCAGCCATATTTTTGGCTATTTTGTGTTGGGCCGATGGATTGGCAGCATCGTCTTCAAAGGGTTAAGGTACAAAACGTTAGGTCTGCATATATTTTAGGTCACATTATACCAGGTGGGATGGCCAGTTCCTTTCCAGTGACCTTTTCTTTCTAGATTATTCCCAGAAAAATTCTGAAAATTGTTTGACATCCATCATGTGACAAAGTCGACTTTACACTTGCATTTTTTTTTTGTGTGGACTGTGTACACAAAATTTAAAATTTTATATTGAAATCAATAATTTTTTTAAAGACAAATTGACATAACCCTGGCACCCCCCCCCCCCCCCCCCTTTTCCAATGTGCACTTCACTCTCACTCTTAAAAAAAGACAAACAATTATACAACTGTTATATTTACAAGTTCTCACCTTTTGCAAACATAACTTGGATGTTATCTGTACTCATTTTTGTTTTGCTCTTGACACCTATCAGAAGTGGGCTGCCTCGCCTTTAAAAATGTAATTTATTAATTAGATTAGTAAACAAATATGATAAATTATACACCAAAAAATTTTAAAGTTTATTTAAATTTCGAAAATGTAAAGGAAATACATTCAAAATAAATTTCTAGAAAATTATTTAAAACAGGGATATATATATATATATAAAATCATCATCATGTAGCAGGTCCTTTGCAGTATGTCTCATCACGGTAAGCCTGAAAGAAACTCGGTCTCGTATCAGCTATCCTACCTCGTGTACTTTCATTTTCAAGGTGTCACTTATATCCTGTGCCCATCTTGGTCAGTCCCTGCCACTCTTTCCTGGTACTATGCCTTCTGCTATTATTTTTTCCAATCCGCCATGGCGCTTGATATGGCCAAAATATTTCAGCTTCTGAAACAAGATGCTGTTTATTAGCCAATCTTCCTTGATGTTCAGATCTTTTAAAAGGTCAGTAATTTTTCTCTTCTTTTTCCATGGTATTTTATATACACATATATTATATCTATCCATATATATCAGCCCCAGTGGCTTAGGCATTCCGAATGTACCTCATAATCCTACAATGCATGATTTGATTCCAGTTACAGCCGATTTGGCAGCAGACTGCTTTGCACTGATTTTAGCGATGGTATGTAGTGTTAACTGCTCAGAAAGCAATGGCAAACTATATACTTATATAGAATAATGTATATATATATATATATATATATATATATATATATGTTCTCTCTACGACAGAAATCCAAGTCTGAGAAATATAAGCAGCACAGAGCAAGAGGAAGACCATGCAAAATACTTACAATGGTAACATGAAAAAATGCAAAAAGAATAAAGACTAACTTACATAATGCATTATAAAAAACATCAAGACAATCCCCCCCCCCACCCACACCCACCCTTTAGGTCCTTAACTAACTCACGCCAAGTCATTCTATCCTTCGCTATCACATGCAGCTCTCCACATGTCCTCCCCATCCTTTCAACCTCACACTCTAGCTCCCCTCATCATGAATCCCCGTAGGTTCCAGTGCACAGACACACTAGCTACACCACAACCAGGTCCTTTAATTAAATGTTGAATTAAGAATCGACATCACAGCACTCGCGACACCCCCATAAGCGCTCCATCCCCATCTTCAGCAGCAAGCGAAGAGTTAAAATTCCGATGGTACCAGTAACAGTCTGATTGTATATCCGTCTCACTCCTCCCCTGAGTGTCGAAAGTCGGCCAGATCCTCTTGTAACTCCTCGCAGTGCCATTCTCCTCAGACCGTAATGATCTATCTGTTCCTCGGCACTGTTCACTCACTCCCAAAGGGCTCTCACAACATCCAGCTTGTCATATATCAGTTCACCACCAAGTGGTGCAGAACCGGCCAGTCTATCCGCTTGCTCATTTCCCAACACACCGGCATGCCCAGCAGAAAATATCTAAAGGATGCTAACAACCCGGGACCTCGGAAGTGATGCTTGCCACTCAGCACAGAGCATACCTGTCTCCACCTTTATTAGCATGCTCTGTGAGTCAGTTACAATGACGACATGTGTGTACACCTGATTCTCAAGCCAGCGGAAGGCAGCAATGACTGCCTCCACCTTCATTCTCAAACTAGACGTTGCGATATCATATGCCAGGCTTTGTTGCGCCAAGCGACGTCCATTCGCCTTCGCTATGAACCCCCATGCACTTCATCTGCCACTCACCACAGAGCCATCTGTATATACAATCACATCACTTGGACGGTAATTGTCATGAATCATTTGTTGAACTTCTGATTCTGCAGCGCCAGCTGGCCAGTCCCTGCACTCACGTCCTAAAGTGATTAGAACCCTACACAAGCCTGAAACCTGATCGGACACTTTGACCCACTCCTCTCCTCGCCTCCAATTGTGTCTTCAGCTTGCACCATCCAATGTCTTTTCAGTCTGTGACCCTTAGCTCTATCCAGGGCTTCATGCAGGAGGTGCCTCTTGTCCGCAGCTTTTCTGAGATATGACTTTGCTTGCAGAACTTTGAGCCTATCTGCAATAGTAGGCAGTGCAAGTATATATCGCATACTTACTACCGGGGTATCTCTTGTACATCACAGAATCACCTGCATGGCTTCATTCTGTATGCTTTCAAGTTTCATCAGCTGACTCTTTGATATGGTAAGTATTCCAAGTCCATAATCTGTCACCGACAGGATCACATGCTGGAACACTGTGAACAACATTCTTTGTTCCATGTCCATAGCTGCCATCATCTTGAGAGCATTGAGTCCTTTTTGGTATTTCACTGCAACTGCATCCACGTGACCCGTGAAGAAGAGGCTTCTATCGAAAATGATACCCAGGTATCTCAGTTTGCTTTCTCTTTTGATGTTACTGATATGAACTGTGAGGTTTGGAACGCCATCTTTTACAATTCTATTGTCCAGAGAACACCACAAAACAGCTGCCTTTTCTGAGTTGATGACAGCACCATTTTCGACGCACCAGTCAGTCACTTTGTCCACAGTTGCTTGTAGCTCGTGAGCTATCCATCGCCTATCTCTCCCCTGCCTATATGCAACTACATCATCGCCAAATGTCAATATTCTTCCAACACCTGGTGATTCAAGTTCTGCAATCTTGCTTGTATTCACATTAATTTACACATGCTCTTTAATTAGACAGTGTTAACCATTCACATCTGTTCAGAAGAACAGGCAACATAACTATTCAGTAAGTGAACTTCTGTGATCAACAAGATCAGAATTAATGTATAGACCAAGCCAAAAGCATAAGAGAGATTGACTATTGTTATTGGTGGAAAAAAGAAATAACAGTCCCTGTGAACCCCCATATATGAGGCACACAAATGGGTGCTATTCTACAATTTTGACACTGCAAAGTACGAGAGAGTCAAGATGAGATGAATAAAATAAACCAACCTGGTAGCGACAATATCTCCCGGATAATGCTTGCTTATAACTGCAATAGCAAATGCTCCTTCCTGGGGGAAAAAAAGCAGCATTATTTTATTTCAACAAATGAAAAATAATTATCAATAAAAATAATCTGGTTATCAGATGCCCTTGTGCATTGTTGCGCACATAAAAAATCCCTTGGCAGTTGGAAATTGATTGGAAATTACTGTAGGTATGGTTATTTGGGTGGCAAACCTTCTGGAAGACTTAATTTCAACTCTTTCTATCTTGCACGCATTCCTTTCACCGTACCCTCTATCACCGTTTCCTTTCACCTAACAATCAAGCACAATTTCTATCCACCTTACCCATTAACATGCATTCCTTCAAGCTTACACTCCAAGAATAATTTTCTTACACCTTAACCTTTAACCTGGTTACTTCCACCTTACCCTTTAACCTGGTTACTTCCACCTTACCCTTAAACCTGGTTACTTCCACCTTACCCTCTAACATGTATTTCATCCAACTTACCAGCTGGCTTGGTTTCCTTCCACCTTACCCTTTAGCATGACCTCAAACTACCTTACCCCTAAGCATCCTTTCTTCCCAATCAAGCCTTCTACATGGTTTACTTCCACAGTACCCTTTATTATGTCTTCTTTCCACCTTATTCTTAAGTATATCTCCCTTCACTGGAAATTCAACCAATCATTAAAGTCTAAAAATGGCTTGGCATGAGTTAGTAGAAGGCCAATGCTCCACTGGAATATGAAGGACAGAAACAGAAAAAGAAGAAAAAAGAGAGGATAAGGAGAGGAGGAGGAGCATCAGAAGCAGCAGTATAAGGATAAGAAAAAGGAAAGAGAAGTAGTGGAGCAGCAGAGGAAGATGAAGAGCAATAAGGAGCAGAAGAAGAATACAAATAAGAAGAAAACCACCAGAGCACTAACCAACTGAGCAATGGTCATCTCTATCAGCTCCCTAAATTTGATCTTCTGCTCCTTGTGAGTATCATGCAAATGCTTGATCAGTTTCACCACCACTTCTGTATCGGTCTCTGTTTCAAAAACAAACCCTTTCTGTGTCTGTGAATAAAGGAAGAAGTTCCTGTTAACAACAAATACTACAAACTGAAAACAGATGGCACATGCAACAAAAGAAACAATTACATGCAGCAGGAGAGAGAAAGACAGAAAAAAGAGATATTCTGGAGTTAAGAGCAGATCTCTTTTTACCATCAAAAATGTAATCTAACAAAGGAACATATTTAAGAAATAAAAAATTAAAGATCAAATATCTTCCTGCTAATTTACGTTATGTACATTTCTCTTCTTCTTCTTCTTCTTCTTCTTAGTGTTCACCGGTTGTAAATGCTGGTGCAAAATTCTGGTTGTTATACCTCTTCTTGTTCCAGAACTGGAGTTTTGTGTGTGCAGATGAACAATGGAGAGTGACCTGAATGCCTCATCTCTGACATGGAAAACTGCACTGAAGATTGCACAAGACAGGAAAGCATGGAAACTCCTCTCTGAAGCCTCATGTGCCACTAGGCATAAAGAGAAATGATGATGATGATTTGTTTTACAGACTGGGCTTATTTTTATGCACACTGGTGGATCTTCACCTCTCAGGCAGATGTATTCTGACTCTGAAGGAAACACTAATAACAATTTTTTTTAAATGATATGCCTGTTGGAGGACAGTAAGTCTGATTTTTCTCCAATCAATTCTGATATAGATGATCCTCCATGCCGTGACGTCACACTGTCCAGCATCTTCTCTCTCTCTGACTCCCTCTGCTCCTCTTCAACTTTCCCACTGTCACGATGCACTTCAGTTTTCTCCTTATCATGACATGACCTAAGAATGTAGACTGTCTCCTTCTGATGTGGGCAATCAGTTCTCTGTGGGGGCTGCGTGGTCTCCAGACATGGTGCTTGCTTCGATTGCTAGAGGTTCGGGTTCAATCCCCGGTAAGATGTGGGATTTTTTTTCACGTGGACTTGGACTTCTAGTAGTTCCCCCTGGTCTCTGGGTAGTGAGATCGGACGTAGTTGGAAATCGAAAAAGTAGCCTAACGGCGCTACCCGGGCAAAGATTTGGAGTTTAAAATCTACCCAAAGTATTTCAGGATCCTAGCCGGTGCTACAGAGCCTGTGCTGAGCTTCTTCGGACTCAGACTTGAGTTAGAAGAAGAATAGAGCACTTATGGGTTACTACTCGGGTGCCATGATGTTGATCCGTTGTTCAAACCTCAAACCTGGTTTCTTTCAAAACAATTTCATTACTCTTTTTATCTGTCCAGGATTTTTTCATTTGTCTATACAACCACATATTTGCAGCTTCCAAATAATTTTTCACTAACCTACCAACTGTCCATGATTCACTTCCATATATCAAGACAAGATTTATATAGCTCGTCTTGTAATTTATTAGTAAATGTATTTTAGTTTTAATGTCAAATCGGTACTGTTGCATTGAGCTCACTCTTCTTCGCCTTCTTCTGCCTTCAGCTTTAATAGGACAGTTGGCACGCCACTTTGTTGTGGTTTGCAGCTCAGCAGTGATGCCTGCACCATTCCAGCTTAACACATTCAGTTTCAGCAAATTCTTGATAAGTTGAGAATTTGAAGTTTAAACAACGTATCAACATCATGACACATGTGTAGTTGAGTTGAGTTGAGGTTGAGTCAAGAATTGACATCACAGCGCTCGGGGCATTCCCATGATGCTCCGTCCTCATCTTCAGCAACCAGCGCAGTTCCAATACTGATGGTATCAGTCATCTGGTTATATGCCCGTCTTGCCTTTTCTCTGAGTGTACTGAGCGGGCCAGACCCTCTGGTCACACCCAGATGCCTCATTCTTTCCAGGACATAATAATCTTCTATCTCTACTGATTCCGTTGCTTGTTCCCTAAGGGCCTTGACCACATCTGCCTTGTCATGCATCAATTTACCACCCAGTGGTGCAGATCCAGCCAATCTGTCTGCCTGTTAATTACCCACCACGCCGGCATGGCCTGGAGAAAAGATCCAAAGTATGCTCATTACCCGTGATCTTTCCAGTGAAGCTTGCCACTCTGCTCGAAGCATTCCTGTCTTAACCTTTCTCAGCATGCTTTCAGAGTCTGTTACAATTACAAACCTGTGTATGCATCTTGTTCTCTAGCCACCGGAGAGCTGCAGTTATCGCCTCCACCTCCATTCTCATGTTAGATGTTGTGGTGTCATATACCAGACTGTCTTGCACTAAAAGTTTTCCACTGGCTTTCGCTACCAACCCCCAGGCACTTTGCTTTCCTCTCAACACCGAACCATCTGTATAGAAAATCAGATAACCTGAGCGTGAATTGTCATGAATCAACTGTTTGACTTCCACCATCGTAGCGGCACACATGTAGTAACCCATAAGTGCTCTGTTCTTCTTCTAACTCAAGTCTCAGTCCGAAGAAGCTCAGCAAAGTGCACATGCTATGTAGCACCTGCAAGGATCCTGAAATAGTTTGGGTAGATTTTTAACTCCAAATTTTGCCCGGGCAGTACCGTTAGGCTACTCTGTTCGATTTCCAACAGCCAACGGATTTTTTATGTGCCCCACAATGCACACGGGCGTCCGATCTCACTACCCAGAGACCAAGGGGAATGACTAGAAGTGCAAGTCCATGTGAAAAGGCGGACACCATGCCTCAAGACCATGCAGCCCCCTGCTAGTTAAGGAAGGGTGGGTCTATTCCTTCTTCACTTACCTTTAAACAGCGCCTTGGAAAACACAGAGAAAATGTTATGAGTTAAAACATGCAGAAGAACTTAATAATTACTAATAAAATGCAAACATTCATTAACTCGTGCCTGCACAGAATAAAAGGAATTAAACAGTATGATAATAAATTCACGAATGTGGTGTTTTGAGAGAGAACTAACCAAATTCAAGTGAATCAACAGGTGAGGAAAATATGCTAGCACTGGATAGGACACACATCGGGAAACCCTGAGAACAATATAAATATAGTGACTTTGCACTCTAACCCACAGGGTCAAAGGAATAAAGGAAGACCCACTCAACAACAACAAAACCACACCCCCCCCCCCCAACCCAACCATCCACCCCACCTCCATCCATCCACCCCACCTCCATCCACCCGACCGCATGCACACACACACAGACCAAGAGAGAGAGAGAGAGAAAGAGAGAGAGAGAGAGAGAGAGAGAGAGAGAGAGAGGGAATGGAACTAAAGAATGATGTTGAATAAAGATGGAGAGGACAAGGGATAAGCTGAATGCAAAAGATAGAAGTACTTGGCCTTTGTTCCATTAAGAGATAAAGGTCAGAAAAAAGAAATTTTTTTTTAATGTTTTAGCCACATAAATTAAGTTAGGACAGAATATTTTTTCAGACTTACCAAGAAAAATTTAATATCTTTGTAGTTTGTAATGATGCCATTGTGGATGAGTGCAAACTCTGTGAAGTGAGGCATGAGATACATTAAGTGAGAGTCGTATATAATGAATCCTGCATTTATTATTTCAGAATATCAATTTGTAAATGGACATTCATGTGTTCATTTTAAATGTCTGGCTATGAACAAAAATACTGCTGTGTTTTTCATTAGTTTTCTTTTCATGTTCTATGAATAACATAAAAGTGCTTTAAATATATCAAAGAGAATTTATTTTCTTCTTCCTAGTGATTTCCTCTTATATTTATTGTAACACGTCGTCCCCTTGAGGGATGCAATTGTTTGTTATTTGAAGCCCCACCCTGAATATAGCTGGGCCACAATTGTGGCCATAACGGCTTAAAGGGGTTTCTGGGACCTCTCCAAGAGTTATTCTCATCCGCACGGTGGCACTTTGTGTCACTGGATGTTAATCACTTGTGTGATGTCTTGGTGGGGTACAACAAGCAAGCAAGCAAGTTTCTCTCTTATCAGTAACATCTAGTAAATTGTTTGCTGCAAGGGTTTTTAAATATTTAGTATTAAACCTTCGGCCCCGCAAAAGCACCTGGTCTGGCATCACTACTCCTACTACTTCTCACCCAGAAGCCTCTAAACCAGCACTGCTACTTCAGCAGTCTCTAAACTGACTAGTTAATGGGATTGGTTCTGCTTGCGCCTGTACAGTGTTAGGAGCTCCGGAAATAATTATATTCACTATTTGGAGGGCAAGGGGTTTATTGTGAATAATATTTCTTTTAGCCAGTGTAAACTTAATAACTTCCCTTAGTCCTTAGTAACCAGGTCAAAGGTCACAATATGAGTTGCCATATAAATTCCTTAAGGTCCAAGTGGGGGGAAAAGAGACAATGAATTCTCTACTCCACTCATGTTTGTTGATAATCCCAGCTAATCTATTTTGAAAAAACAAATTTAAAAACTGAATGTAAAAAAAAAAAACCATCATTTAAAAATGTATTAGTGACGTGTAATTTGTAAGATTCTCCCACCTCCCCCTCCCAACAAATTCCTGAGCTCATGGGATTTTCTTAAAAGGGTTAATGGAACAGAAGGGTTAAAATAAAAGCAAAACACAATTTTTAATACATTATAAAAACATAAACAACATTCTTCATCCCCACCCCTTTAAAAAAAAAACCAGAAGAAGAAGACAAAGTACTTACCATTGTTAGGATCTGATCTCTGTGGGTGAGCATTAACTGGACTCGGCTGTCCATGGGTTGCCCAGCGGGTATGAGCAATACCCACATGAATGTTGAACACCTTGTCAAAGTCTAGATATTTTGATTCTACAGAGAAAAACATTCTTTAGCTGTATAATATTTTAAACTGTGAAAATTTACTACACAGGTTTAGTAAATAAAATGAGTTAAAGATGGTAGGAAATACAGGGATTTATATCAAAGCAGGTTAAACAACTTAAGAGTGGCAATCTTTGGAAAGTCTGAAATAGTTAAAAAGCCTTGACAGCAGTAGTTAGCATGTTGTATTTATGACAAGATGAGAGTGCACGCAATCATGGCAGCTGGGAAACAAGAAGTTCTAGAACAGTAGTTCCCAAAGTGGTCCAAAGATTACTTGCGGTCTGTGGAACAAATTTAAAGGATCTATGATATAATTTTTGTAATTATAATAAAAATTTATCTTTTTTTTTTCAATTTTTAAATATAACTTACAATGTAGAGGATTAGTGCAGGCATCCAAAATAAGAAAGGTCTATAAGTTTTATCTATTTGGAACCACTGTTCCAGAACACTACCATTGGATTATGAACAGATTATGGCAAGGTAAAGGTAAAGGAACCATTTGCATGCTGAGGCATTTGGATATATGGTGCTAGCTTCACATTTTTATTAACCAATCAGCTCTCAATAGGCAATATTCTTCCCCGAGTAGGTTTTTGGACCCCATTGTGGGGGCAAAAAGAAAAGACCCACCGACCCCTAACAAACATGTAGTAGCAGTTGACTGATTAGGGTTGCTTCCTCTGAAGTGGGAGTTCATATGCCCTTGAGGCAAGAACCAAAAGTCTGCTTACAAATAAGCTAAATCTGCAAAACAGATGTGCACATAAAGCCAAAGTTCCGGAACAAGACTAAATCCAGAAGTGGACAAACAACCAAGAATCCCCCCCCCCCCCTTCCCGTCAGCCTAAAAAGGAAAGAAGAAAAGGCAATGTGATCAATATTCCATAAGCTGTGTTTTCTTCCTAGATGTTTCCTGATACCTATTTTTGACTATGTTATCCAAGGAGGGGCACATAGATAACATCAGATGGAAGATGAATAACAGAGATAAGAAACAGAATAGGACAGGCAAAAACTGCATTTTATAAAATGAAGAACATCTTGTGCAATATATCCTTGTCATTGAGAGTTAGAACAAGAATTCTTGCTTGCTACATACATCCAGTCTTAACCCTTTCGCTGCTGCGCCCTCCGCCAGCCAACGTAACCACTGTGCTAAGCCTGGCGAGAGCTAATCTTTCCCCCTGTGCTGAATACCGTTTTTTCCTTCAAAAGCAGAAGACGCGATTGCGGTGCGGGGTAAAAATTGTACACCTAAAATAAAAAATCGTTGAAGGCGTGTGGTTGAACTTTGCGCTGACAAGTCAGACGCGCTATTACTACGCCATGAAAACTCATTAACAAAAAGAAAACACTACAAACTTACAAGGCAAACACAAAACACGTTAGTAAGCAAATACATGGTTTTTATTATTATTAATATCTTTGTGTGTGAAATATTTCAAAACAAGGTGCGACACACAATGCCAAATCACATTCCTTGCACATGTATCTGGTTTTCCGTCGTTTTTGGTTTTTGCGCATACCACACACTTTCTTTTGGGGAATTTTTTCTGCGATGTTACGGACTCTATTATTGAAGGGAAATGCCTTTGTACTAAACGAAGTGGCAGATCTTCACTTTTTTGTCCTCCTACACTTTTTCTCTTTTCCTTGCAATATTTATGTAGAATTTCTCTTACTAACATTAAGTGAAATTCGGCAACAGGTGTGTTTTTCCCCACAACAACTTTATATAATGAATGTGCACAGTACACCAACCACGCTTCACATAACGTGCTAAGCATCTAAATCCACCTGAACGCACGTGACAGGATGTTTAATTAATTATTACTTCGGTGATCTGTTGCCGAAAATGCTAACAGCTTAAATTTAAAAATTGCATTTTTAAAAAATTTATTTTAAAAAAAACGGCACGTAGGGGTTGAACGCCAGACCTTTCGATTGTAAGGCAGACGTGATACCAACTACACTAGAAATTCACATGAAACTGAGACTGAAAAAAAAGACCAGTATTGTACACTTTAATAGACAAACACATTTATGTCAGTTGTATAGTATATAATTAACATTAATATAAATCATCACGTCAGTACGTGACCATATTTTTTTTTTTTTTGTGTGTGATTATTTTGGATCCGTTTCAAATCCAGTCGATGTAGAAAGCTAGGTCATATGGTCACTGGTCAGTCTTGTTCACAGCCAGAAGTACACGTGTCCGCCGGCGTGCCGTGAAGATAACCCAGCTCATATAACTCATACGTTTCAAAGTGATCCTTACTACTACTCCTTGAAAGAAACTCAATTAATTCTTCTTTATTTAAACAAATGTTCTTGTTATTTTGTATTAAAAAAAAAAAAAAAAATTAGACTAACGCAAAACCAGAAATATATTTCAGGGCAAAAAAATTACCGATCACCGACAATGCTTCTATGGTAACAAAGAAACTGGATAACGTGAAATGCATCTAAATACGCCTAAACTCACTTGATAAGGGTTTTAATTGTATGTAAACGGGTCAGTTTGATCAGATTAAGTTAATGTGTATTGCTATTTCACCCCTAAGAATTACTGTCCTTAGCAATCTGTAAAAAAATGTCCAGAACGAGATATCTCGTCCTTAGCAGTGAGGGCACAGAAAATTGCAGCCGAGTTATCTCGTCTTTAGCAGTCTGCCGGGCAGACGAGTTATCTCGTCCATAGCAGCGAAAGGGTTAACATATGACTGTGAATTCTGGAAAATCATTAGGCAGGCCAAACAATTTCTTTAGGCCTCAGAGAATGCTTAGAATATTTTGGACATCCAAAAAGAGCAAACCAAAAGGTTTTGAAAGAAGCAGGAGCCTGAAGACAACTTATCACAGACATCAGAAGGAGACATCATTTTTCGGTCATGTTATAAGAAGAGGGAAAATAGAACATGTGACCACTGGAAAGATCTGTGGAAAGAGGGATAGAGAAAGACGAGAGAAGATTCTTGACAGTCTTGTTGCATGGCATGGAGGTCTGTCGGCACATGAATTGATACATGCTGCAGGAGATCGCAGATTGTGGAGAGGCATGATCACCCACGCCAGTCTGCAAGGCACCTGATGATGATATCCTAGGAGTCCACCATAAATTTTGTATCTATGACCACAGGTAAGATTGCACAGCCTCTGTGCTGCCACATCTCCCAGGTGTGGAACAGAAATGTATATACATACTACTGAACGCAGAAAGTAGCAAAGACTTTGACCTTAACCAATCCAATCAGAGTTATCTCAACAGCATTATGGAGCCCCTGGGCAAACCAGTCTGCTGGGGCTCATAGGACAACCCCTCACAGGAATGTAATTGGCATTTATGTCAAGTCACTTGACATGCACAGATTAGCATGGGGTGCCTATGCTATGGGGTCCCCCAGTAACTGCATCTGATCAGCAGAATGACAATTATTAAACTCTTTCTGTATTTGGAGTTTAAAATCTACCCGAAGTATTTCAGGATCCTCGCCGGTGCTACAGAGCCTGTGCACTGTGCTGAGCTTCTTCAGGCTCAGACTTGAGTAGAAGAAGAATGGAGCACTTATGGGTTACTGCCCCTGTGTCATGATTTTGATCTGTTGTTCCAAAAACCTCAAAACCTGAGATAGATAGAAGACAGAGAAGATTCTCCTACCTAGTTAATGACAGATTCAGAGAAATCTTCTTCTTCTTTGGGCTCACCAGCTGTTAGAAAGTTCTGGTTGTTCGTCCATTTTTGGACTGCAGTCCTGTTCCAGAACCTGTTGTGTGCCCATCCGACTGACTCATTTGTGTGCAGACTGTTGGTTCCTTGCCTCTCAGGCAGATGCACTCCAACTTCGAATGAAACTCCCAATTATTCAACTCTTACGACAAGCTTTTGGGTAGGCAGTGAGTCTATTCTTGTTTTCCCTACAATAAGGCCTCACAACCCACACAGGGGATTCAGAAAAATATAAAACAGCAGATATTTCTATCAAAAGCAGTGTGGCATCAGCTCATCAGAAGCCGTCATAAAACCAGCAGCAAGTCTGACACTAGTTAACAGTGTGGAGGGCTTTTTCAGTGCTCTCTACACTGTAGACCAGTGTCTCCCAAACTTTTCAGAGTCGCAAAGCTTTTTTCAATGACAATTGTTCTATGGCGCCCTAACCCAAGTAAAAGTATGACTATTTGTATGTGAGAGATTTAAAAAAAATAAAACTTGTGTATCTTCGAATATTTTGTGGCACCCCTGTGAAGAGTTCGCGGCTCCCCGGGGCGCACAGTTTGGGAATCACTGCTCTATATAATTATTTTTCTTATTGTTAGTGTTCACAAGCCATAAACTCCAGTGGAAAGTTCTAACTGTTTGTCCCACTTCCAGACTTTATTATTGTCCCATAATGTAAATTTTGCATGCATATCAGTTTTACTGATCTGGCTTAGTTGTATGCAGATTGCTGGTTCCTTGCCGCTCTGGCAGATGCACTGCAACTTCAGAGGAAAATTCGCCTTTTATGATATGTTTATAAGGGAGGCTGTGGGTCTATTCTTTTTTACCCAAAATGGGACTCCAGAACCCACATGGGGGAACTCTATAATTTCTAACTGCACATGCATTTTTAACTCTTTCGGTCTCAAGGAATCTACACAACTTGATTTATAACTAATTTAACAATCCTCTGATACAGAGAAGTTAATGTGCACAGTATAGGCACAAGTCTATGTCAGGAAAATCAAGAATTTTAAGACAGCAGCCTGCTAACTGTGATGTAATAGGCAACTTGAGAGAGTTAATATAGACTCGGAGGCTTATCAAAGAGAGAACAGCTGCAAAATTCAACTAATCATGAACAAATTTTGAAAGAGCCTGAAATGAGTCGGCTAAAGGTCTTTCCTCCACTGTGAGATAAAAGGCAGAGGGAGAAAATCTATACTGGGCCTATGAATGCATTACTTTTATCCCAAAATAAAAAATTAAAACAACATCAATTAGACATTAGAATAACTACACATCTGAGATAAAGAAAGGTAATGAAGGGAACAGGACAAAACACACAAAGGGTGGCTGTGAAATCATAACACTTGAAACATTTTCATGGACATTGGGCTGATGATGATTAGAAAAGAATGGATTCTCTCATTAAATGCATAGTAAATAACTTGCCCAACTTTCATCTTTGTGTCAGGCAATGCAGGTGATCAAGGCAATGAGCGTGCAGATTATCTCAGGGACAAGGCAGTTACTCTGACTGGCCCGACATTGGACAGGAGTAATGTCACTAATGTCATGCAAGATACATATTGTAAGGACAATCATGACAACAAGTAGGAATTAGTGTTCTGGTCCAGATTAGTAGATATGGAAATGCAACCTGCAGATAAACATGGTGTTCATCCTAATGACAGTTTAAAGATGGCAGCCCAACTTTTGACAGGCACCAAAGAGAAGCAGCATTCAGTTATCCGTTCTTTTTTATAAGTGAAGAGGTGAAAGCTATGGAAATTCATCCGCAAATGAAGATCCAGTATGGTGATGCATCCACCTGAGATTTACTTACACTCAATAATTCAAAAACCATACTTTCTGGGTCAGTCAAAATTCCATTTTTAAACTGATAATTACTGCCTTTATTGTACCACTATTGCGGTGTAGGCAGGGGGTCTCTGAGCCTAAGGATTTACGGCCGCATGGCTAGTGCTGTCACCACGACTGTGCTGGTAAGGATTTTATTTTGCCCCGACGAAAAAAAAAATCCCTAGCCTTACTGAGGATTCAGACCCAGATCTCCTGCTTGAAAGCCCAGGGTTCTAACCATTCGGCCAGCCACTCCTCTCCATTTTTAAGCTGATAAGAAACATAACCACAATATACTACAAGAACTCACCCTCTACTAGCTTTGCTAAGGCTGCAACCTTCCCAGTTTGTTTAATGATTTGAATGCAGCTGTCACCATCAGGCCCTGACCCTTCAACCGCAAGGCCTATGCAGTTGTAAAAATGATGGAAAAAAGATCATATTTAATTCTAACAGTTATGTCACTAGGTGAATACAAGTTACAAATCGTACACACATTAAATGAATGAATAGATGAAGGTCAAGTACACCGAATCCAATACCTCTTTTCCTTTGCATTCATCAGCTGTAAACTCCAGCAAAAAGCTCTGTTCGTCCACTTCAGGAATTTAGTCATGTTTCAGAATTTGAGTTTCACATGCATGTCTGTTTTATCTGTAAGCAGACTGTTGCGCTTACTAGAAAAATCCACAAACTTACCATAAGAGAACCCTGCGTTCTCAACCTTTTCACCCAGGAAACTCTTTTAAAAAAAAGGTTGTAAGAAAATTTTACGCGAACTAAATGCCACTGTTAGTTAATGTATTCATTCATATACCTCTGTATGAGGCCAGTTCGGCTACTGGATGAGGTGTGATGAAAATGAATTATCACATATAAACGAGTTGACCCTCAGTCAAACTCAGAGCAAGATTGGACAGTTTGACCAGGGAATAAACTATGTCGACTGAGCTGGGCTAAGCCCTACGATCCACTAGTAACACGAGTTACGTGTCAGAGATAAACGCTAAAGAGGAACAAATTGCTTGGACAGAGCTGGTTTGGGGAGACGTGTAGTAGGACACTGGACTGAACAGATGTGGGACTGCGACGATAAACATATCTTAGATTAGTGACGGTTAGTAAGAATAGTATTTGTGGTTAGGATTTAGATATGTTGTGTTCCCATACAGTGTTCTGACGAGATAGTGCAGCGTTAATGATTCTTGTATAGTAGACGTTCCACGCAGTATCTGTTCAGCAGGTACTTAATGTCTGACATGCATTGTTGATAACGTTAACACTGCCCACTCATACTTAGATCATTTACCTTACGTGTGTCACTGAGTCCCAAGTGGCGAGGACAGCAGCTTAGTTAGCGCTGTTTGACAGTGAGGTGGAATCGAGTCCTTGGTATATCCATAGGAACGGCTCGGGTTGATTTAGTAAATATAAAAGCTATCAACGCCGGTGTTTCAGTTAAGGACGACCACCTTTGTTGAGGCTTGCTATAAGTTGAATTGTTCTTTGTAAATTAAAGATTACGTGTGTACTCTGTAGGTGTGTGTTTTAAGTGTTTCTTAGGGTAGTTAAGTCGGTTAGCTGGCCTACCTAACGAGCCATAGAAAGTAGATAATAAAGTAGGTCCCTGAAAAGCCCCCATTATAAACAGGTCGTAAACAGATCATTAGATACAAGTTGGAAAAGTGACATTTAGGCGGAACTGGAGGCAATCAGAAGTGTCAGTTTTTGTGGCTTCTCTGGTCAAAAGAGCCAACCTTTCAGTTGGCCGCTTCTCTTAATATATATTTCCAAAATTTAAATGAGGGGAAGTTGATAAGTGAGTCAAAAATTGTTGTTTTCTTCAAATCAACTAAAGATGATAGCAATTTGTTTATTTTTACACATGCACTGTCCCTTTATTTGTCAACATAATTTCCACCAACACTGGTGCACCTGTCCCATCGTTTTATCAGTCCTTCCAAACCTGCTGCATAGAATTGTGTGCTCTGTTTTCTAAATCACATTTTCACTTCACTGTTTCATTTGTGAAATGTCTCCTGCCAAGGTGGGTTTTCAGTGGAACAAAAAGGGGGAAATCGCTAGGAGCTGTCAGTACTGTAATTTGGGTGTTCCAGAAGGTTCCACCACAGATGGGTAATTTCCTCCTGAGTTAACCAAGCCGTATGTCATGAAGGAGCAGTATTCCCTTAGTCAGCTGGCCTTTATGTTTTCTTCGAACTGCATCCTGAAGCATTAATAGAACTTTACAGTATGAATTAGCATTCACTTTGTCACCTATCCTCTTTTTTTTTTTTTTTTTTTGAAATTGGTTAAAAACACTCCTTGACGATCCCACAACAATGTCAGCATAACCTTCCCTGCTGATGGCGTAACCATGAATTTTTGAAAACAAAGGTGAAGGATGTTTTCACTGCATGGAACCACACTTTGAACCCCCCCCCCCCCCTTCCTGAGCACACGAGACTCCACTTCAAGTAGTCAAGGATACCTTTTGACCTTCTACTTTTCCCTCTTGGCTATGTCAAGAGTGACATCATTTTCTCAGAGAGGACATTGAGGGATATTCGATTAAGTCTATGGCGGCTGGTTGGGAAATTCCCATTGTGTCTAATTTGCAATTTCCCTGTGCTTTTATTTTTTATATACAGAAGTTTTTGCTAGCAAATTGGGCAATGTTGCTGCAAAAACCTGGCCACCAACAGAATCCCTGCGGGTAGATAGGATCGCCGGCACTGACTTCAGGTCGCTAGCAGGAGACAGAGCGTGCAGTCTTGGAAGACAACTTTGATTCGGACTTTCCAGCCGCCTAAAAACCCTAGCAGTATGACCGTATAATTACATCTACATCCAGCTACTGAAAAGCCAAGGACAGATTCCTTGTTCCTTGTGGCAAGATGAGCTTCCAGAACACTGCCAGGCTGCTCGTAGGTGAGGACTGAAGTGCCCCGAGGAAGACCTTAGTCTTGGTAATTGGTCCACTTAGAACATTCAGCATTAATTTTGGATAAGACCATCTGGGAAACCCCAGATGGTAATTATTTGTAGTCCCAACAAATTCTCATTCTCTCAGGATGACAGTTTCATGTTACAGTCATTTTTAACATCATCATCAGTTTAGTTTGATCAGTGTAGAGAAAAGAAAACAGATAAAATAATTACTTTAATAAATCTTTGTGTATTTGTCAACCATAGTTGAAGTTATTTTATTTCTAGATATGTGTATGGTGTCAGTCTAGTGCTGTCTATCAATATACCTCTGCTAGATGGGGGCAGAAAGGAAGGACACTCGGGAGGGATAATCTGCTCTGTCTAAGTGTAAGTGCTCTTTAGGCATCTAAATTTCCTTTTCCTTTTTCTGGGGATATTCCTTCACGAGCCAATTCGAGTCTGTATCTGGGTACCCATGGACATTGCCTGCTCTTTGCATCAAAAGACAGTTGTCTCGGTTTCTCACTTGCATCAGGAGGGAGGATTTAAACCTGTACCCCACTATAATGAGTAAAACTGAAACCCGCTCCACGAAACCCCCCAAAACCCCAATATTAAACAGCAACCACATTCCTTACCTGCAGAATCATAGCCTCTGTACTCCATGCGCTTGAGTCCATTGATGAGAATATCCAGTATTTCCTTTCTAGTGGCAGGCACCAGATAGTTGAGGTAAGCAAATATTCCTGGTGTCAGATTGTTAAACGTATAATTTACACATTTCTGCGTCACCAGATACATTTTAATTATAAATCAATGTTTCCCTATTGTAAATGTAAACAAAGAAAAAACACACAATAGACTGAAAAATGTATTACCTGGTACATTGTCAAGTGCTTGCTACAGTAACAACTGCAATTCATTGTACAATCTATATTTGTGTTCTTTTGTTTGCATCTTCTTTGTTAAAATATGTCACACATAACATAACCACCATTTGAAAATCTTGGCAAGATATGAAATTAAACAATGAAAAGTCATTCCTTGGGAGCAAACTTCAACTGCTCCAACATGCTGCAAGAAAAAATATAATCTAGAAATGAAGTATACTATACTCTTCAACACCTTCTAAAGTGAAAGTCTCTTTCTTGCAACACCAAGATCAAAATATATAAAATGCTCATTTGACAAGTTGTTTTATATGGGTCTGAAACTTGAAACTAAAAGAGATGAAGTTTTATTACAATATTTTGAAAACTGAGTCTTATGATGAATTCTTGGACCCATCAAAGATGTAGACAGTGGGTAATGGAGAGTGAGAGTCAACAACAAAATTACTAATCTGTTTAAATCACCACTGATCACTGGCATCATGGGAGTTAATAGACTGAAATGGCTGGGGCATATTGAGGGAATGTCAGATGACAGAGAGGCAAAAACTGTATACACAAGGGAACTGAATAGTCCTAGACCACGAGGCAGACCAATAAAATGATGGAGAGATAATATGCAGACAGACCTACAAACACTTGGTGTCACCAACTGGAAACAGAAGGCCAACCAGAGGGATGAATAGAGGCGGGTGATATCTGCAGCAATGAATCCCAAGGATTCGAAAAGTTGAAGAAGAAATAAAAGTCATTCAGTCATAAATACCAATCAACTCCTTTAGTCCCAGCCAGCAACTACTTTAACCCATTCAAACTCTAGTTCTACTTCAAAGAATACCGCCAGGTGCCTGTGTACAAGTAAAAAGTACTACAGGGGGAAGTGCCGTAGGTGCGATGATTACTGAGCATCGAAACTGGGACGTTTTTTAATTTCTACATTTGTTGGTGGTGGCTTTCCCCAGAGAGAAAGAAAGCATATCTTTTTCCCCTGCATGCTGGACTAAGCTTTGAGAGGCAGGGGGTATGACGTGTTGGTGTTGTGGGTAGTGGTTTCCCCCCTTACTTCACCCTAGATCTGGTGAATATCTGTTAATGAAAGGAGCGTCCATAACGATGTCACTGCGGTGTCAGCCACTTGACCTAGCATTACTTTTCTTACCCCAAGACCACTGTGCATGGCGAAGAGCCACATCCTTCCCGAGGTAGTCCTGTTAACTGGGGCTGCAAATCCCCAGGCAAAACAAAGGATCTAGAGGAGCAAACCTCGATAATAGACCCGGTGCACCACACCGTACTGCCCCCTGTGGGAGGGGAGGAGCCAGAGAGGTGCTGAATAGTCTTAGGAGTGGAAACAAGTATGCTAACCCCCCCCCCCCCCCCCCCCCCCCCCCACCCCCCTTTCCTACTACCTGAATACCGGAAACTATCGTGAAGGCACAGGGACTCAGGACGTGACGATCCAGTTGCCCCAACTACCCATGCTCAGGAAAGCTCGGCGAAACCAGCAGGCAACCTGGTGGGGGGAATGAGCACACTGTGAGCCTCACCTTAGCTACGTGCCAAAGGGGAAGGCAGAAAAACTACCCATATTTTCTTTAGAACCGGTACAGCACATTTCTGGCTGCTACCCAGGGAGATAGGCAATCCACAGATACCCCAGCACCACAATGCCATAAATAAGAAAGAGTCTCCTGCACTCACCCTCAAAAGGCGGTTGGCATGTTGTTGTTTACAGCTAGGCCGCATAAATACAATCATTTCTTTGTTGCAAAAACCATAATTCAGTGTGCAAGAGATTCCATTTTTCAGTTCATTTATTTTGTAATTTGACATTTCCATGCATGTCTCATTCTTAATAATGTGAAAACCTTTATAATATACAATTTATAACTCTTACAAAAAACATTTGAGCATTTGAAATATATATACTTGCAATCATATGTAACTGATACATAGGCAGTGCAATATTAAATAACAGTACAATTGATAGGCTCAAATATCCATTATTGAAATAGAAAAAAAAAACTGAACAGGATATTGACTTGTTTAACTCTTTGAGTCTCTGGAAATGCATTAAGCACTAATTGGTTACTACAAAGTGGCCTAATCGGCTCGTGACACACAGGTATTTAATTTTTACTGGCTAGTATTTTTAAAAATTAAGTATCCAGAAACTACGAGTTATAAACCCTTTGGCTTGGTACTATGGATATCGCAACACTTCGGCCTTTATTCCATTATAGGTACAGTAAATCTAGGAGAAATGTGGCTTTTCTGCCTACCCCTGGGCGTGAACCTCGACCACAAGGAGTTCGTCACCCGGTCACCGCGAAGTCAGCTTTAACCAACTATAGCAGTTTAGAATAGTCTCTCCTGTTCTCTATGTTCAATAACACATGTTCTGACCATTAGGTTTTTCGTAAACATGGTTAAAAGAATCACATGTAGCATGTTTACGAGCTTTACAGAGTTACTATGTTTCTGCCTGAAAACAATATGGCCTCTAGGCAGACTTCTTCAAGCATGCAACATGATTTATGGCTTTAGAAGACTCAAATGTAAATAAAACATGTGTTTATCAGATTTACCCGAAACTAGACAAAGAAAGCAGAGAAGCAGACTTGATTCAGTCATTTATAGAGTCAAACTTTGATGGGGGGATAGCTCTAATATGTGCCTCGTGCAAAGCATACACTGATAAGAAAGTCAGCTGGCATAAAGATAATAACTAGCTAAAAAACCAGGATTTTCTTCAGTGACAATTAAGTCTAGTATGATTCTCTTTTTGTTTGGGAACATAGTTATAAAATTACAGGTAAATTTAGTTTGATTCAAAGTTTTGTTGTTGTGAAAATACTTATTGTTTGCGTAAGTAATTTTTCTTTACCAAATAATGCTGCTCTGTTATTGTGATCCAAAAGTTTCTCTGGAACAAGATCAAATTAGCAGATTTTTTAATACTTAATTTATACATTACTAAATAGTTCATTATCTTCTGTGATTCATTTTGGATATATTTTATTTTTTCCTTGAGAACCATGATGGTAAGTGGACAAATTATTATTTTATTTTACTAATTTTTCTAAACATGTCATCTTCATCTACTTGATAATATTTAACTACTGACACAATTATTTGTTGTAGCAGTATTCTGATATTATTCCTCAGCAATTCCTGGTCATTTTTATGTATAATTGATATGTTGCCTACCAACTGAATTAGTATGATCTGCTTTTAATGTGTTTCACTTATAACATTTTCAAAATTGCATCACCACCCATTGGACCTCTAAATGCTAAACCCTTTGGGGCTGAAAGAGTTAAATTACTATTCTAGCACTCCCAAATACTGCCTGTTTTTTAAATCACATTTATAAATTATATGTTTAATTTTCAGATGAATGAATTGTTCAAAACGTCGGAACTCATTACTTACTGCTGCTCACAAATATCACATGTATTTTAAATTACGTTTATAAATTATATATTTAATTTTCAGATGGATAAACTGTTCCAAACGTCCAAACTCGGCCTTGAGTGTCGCTGCACTTCTTTAAGCTGCCTTGGGTATTTTGAACGATTTAACTGCGATTAAAAAAACAAAACTAGCTTGGGGCCATTAAGAACACCTACAGTACATACTTACCACACATTCTATAGCTTGGTTAACTACCTCCTGTCCCCTCAGACACAATCGTTTGACTGACTTTTTACGTCGTCACTTGTTGAAGCTGATAAAATCTGCAATTAAGATGTTCTTGTAGGTAGCCGGTCAGTTTAATAACAATATTGATATCCAATTGCCACGTCTTCAGTCGAGGTAAGCGAACAAGCACAGCAGTCGTTAGTTCGTTAGGCAGTCCCTGTGACCTCCGACCAGACACGCCTTCGTTCGTTTGCCGCTGTCAATAAGTTCAAGCCTCTGTTGCAGTGTGTTCGTTTTAGCTGTAAAATTAACTCTTTTGATCTTCTTTCTTTTGTCGTGGTGCTTGTTCCATACAGTGTCGCAGAGAGACGTTCAGTTTCGTTTCCTGTATTTTGCTGGTTGCGTAGCTTGTGTTATTATCATATTGCGTTTCTAAAGTGTGTCTTTTATTCCCTTCACTCATCTCTTTCTTGGCCGGCGTCTTGTCTTGCAGCCTCTGCATTTTTGGTGTGATTTTGCGTTTATGTTTTTTTAGGAACGTTCACGTCTGGCGTTGATAACAGAAATTTGGTACAGATGGCGCAGGTATCAGCTGCTTTGGTGTTAATTTGAATGTTGAATTAAGAATCGACATCACAGCACCCGGGACACTCCCATAAGCGTTTCGTCCCCATCTTCAGCAGCAAGCGAAGAGTTAAAATTCCAATGGTACCAGAAACAGTCTGATTGTATATCCGTCTCGCCCCTCCCCCGATTGTCGAGCGTCGGCCAAATCCCCGTGTAACTCCTCGCAGTACCATTCTCCTCAGACCGTAATGATCTGTCTGTTCCTCAGCACTGTTCACTTGCTCCCAAATGGCACCACAACATCCAGCTTGCTTTTGTGTGAGTGCGTGTATGTGAGCGTGTGTAGAAATGTATGTATGTGTGCGCGCATGTGAATATGTGTATGTATGGTGTATGCATGTGTTTTTCTCTGGTGTGTGTGTGTGTGTGTGTGTGTGTGTGCTTGTTGAAATGGTGACGCCTCACAAGTAACGCTATCTGGTATTCCTTTGGTGTGGTTGTTGCGTATCCTTCACAGGACGTTGCAGAACCAACCATAACAGCCCCTGGCTGTTGTGTGATTACTCTAGGCAAATTTACGTCCAGTAGTTTGCCATTGCCTCTGGACGGTCGGCTTTCTTGATACCACTGTCGAAACCAACGCAAGGCGCATTGCCCGCAGCTGGGATCGAACCCGGCATCCCGGCATTACGAAGCGAAGTGTTCGCATCGACTTAGCCACAGAGCCGACATTCCTTTGGTACCCACCTATAAATACCCAAATTCCTTAGTCTCAAGAAGTTATAGATTGAAATAGCCAATGTTTGAGTCCAAAGAAGTTAATTGGGTAATACTATCTGCAGAATAAGTAAAACTAACAATTTCGATTAATGCGTTAATGTGACAACTATCTGCGGCAAAGGGAGTTTCAGACATATGTACTCGAGATGGAGTAGAGCTAATAAACGCGTGATGACTTACACACAAAAAGCCCTCAGCGAAGAGTTCAAACTCCAGTGGTACTTGTAAGCAGTCTGACTGTATGTCTGTCTTGCCTTTCCTCTGAGTGTGAGTGTCGACCAGACCCCCCGTTCACTCCCCGTTGCACTATTCTCTTCACACCATGGTAATGGTAATTTAATTGTGTTTCTGCATTGCTCACTCGCCCCCACCCCAAAGGGGAGGGGAATTAAACGTCTATCTTATCATGCATTAGTCTGCCACCAAGTGGTGAAGAATCGGCCAGTCTATCTGCATGTTTGTTTTCCAACACACCTGCGACCTCAGGAGACAATATCTCAAGGATGCTAACTACCTTTGACCTCTGAAACGATGCGTGTCACTCTGCCCGGAGCGATATGTAGCCTGCAATCATTTGTTTGTTTGTTCATTCAATGGGTCAACATCATGGCACACTGCTGTAACTCAAAAGTGCTCCGTTCTTCTTCCAAATCAAGCCCAAGTCCGAAAAAACTCATCGCAGTGCACAAACTCTGAAGCACCGGCTAGGATCCTGTAAATACTTTGGGTAGATTTTTAACTCCGAATTTTGCCCGAGTAGCGCCGTTAGGCTACACTTTTCGATTTCCAGCTGCCAGTGGATTTTTTACGTGTGCAATAATGCTTGAACCCGGAACCTCCAGCACTCGAGGCAGACACCATGCCTCGAGACCACGTAGCTCCCTACCTATAATTGTTTGTGGGTAAGTAGTAGTAGTAAAGGCGCGGACTTCCGGCTTGGAGTGAGTGAAGTTTAACCTCACTAGGACCGCATAATGACGGGTACCATTTTTTGGGATGAGAATTTCCCCAGGCGCAGGTCCCCAGAAAAACCGTTGAACCGTAAAGTTATATTAGGGCATGTAACGAGGGTCACGAAGTAACCCAAAGTCCGCCCAGAAAATGTGTCCCGTGTTGGGACAGGTTGATATACCAGTGTGACTGACGCCATCAGGACCGCACACCGATCGATAAACACCCAGTGACATAAAGTGCCGCTATTCGCATGGGTACAATTCCCAGAAACACCGTCAACCCTTAGGTTATATTTAAGGCCCCCGAAGAAAGCCAGGGGAGGGGGGGCGGAGACTTTGAAATAACAAAAAAATGGCGTCCTACACTGAAGCGGAGTTAATACTATACCGGTCGGGTGCTTCTTGGCTTGCTTTGCAAAAAAAAAAAAAAATGGTCAGGTTCAACCAGCATCCCAGAAGGGGAGTTTTTGGTTATAATTGTGACTAAGTTATGTGTTTCATATAAAAAGGCTTGGCATTACATGCCGCCACGTAGCTCTGAAAAGAGCGCTTGCAGGGTTGATGCGATCAAAGGAGACAAACAAATACTGTCCCGACTGGCGACGAAGTGGTCTACCAATGAGTCAGGGGGCGACCTGGTCGCCAATAAGGTGTTGATGGGTCGAAGAGATAAATTTGGGCTCTTTGTTATTATTTGACCCCAGGTGACTTCACAGGACAGTCCAACATTTTAGAGGGTGGTAAGACTGGGTTTCCCGGTTTTCGTATGCTTTTAGCGACCCCCAAAACATCTAGAACTGGCCCCAACTGCAACCCACATACGTCCCACGAGAGCCTAAGTCCCACGAATGCATGCAGCCTGGGTCCCACGACTGCATGCAGCCTATCTACCACCCCCTGAAATATTAGACTGTTCCGTGACCTGTGGATTTTCCCTGTTTGGGGTAGGATATTAATAAAGCACTAAAATTTGTATAGGCTCCAGTTAAGGTCAGAGTGCAAAGGGTTAAGGGTTACACCAGGTCATAACATTGAGGAATGTGAAGTTTTCGTTTTGTTAAGAAGTTGGGCTAGTCGCCTTGATCTCTGTGTAATATTTCTGACAAGCGATGAATATGACAGCATACTTATTCTATGAGGGATTGTGTTCTTCTGTTTAACACTAAGAAGCAACTCTGTTTTCTCTCTCTGTATATTTACTTTTTCAATTTCTTTGCTAGTTGAAAACTGCGTAAATGATTTCAAGTTTTGTTTCTTCTGTAGTGGAGAAACGAAAACTTTCTTCTAGCCTAGTTTGGGTCTGTTGTAGTTAGCACATTATACATCGCTACATAAACTAGAGTTACAAACCAGGCACCAGTAGACTGTTGGCGAATTTATTTTAAAGTGATCATTCAACATAGACATGGCTGGCAGAGATGTAGCGAGAGTTATCAATCGATGTGACCAAGCGAAAGAGGACAGGCGATTGAGTATGTATTGAGTCACAGTAAGATGTTTTAAAGATTATTTTAAACCCACCCTCTTTCTTCTCCGGGATTGCAGTTCATGTTACTTCGTTAATCGTCCAGTTATCTTATATAACGGTGCTGTACGGTTGAGCTGGGTTTATGGGATTTGCTGCGGATGCTCACCCGAATAGTGGATGGTGTCATCGAAATTGGAACTCTCTGCATGTCTTCGCGTGCTGCTGAAGATGGGGACAAAGCGCTTATAGCAGGGCTGCCAATATGACTTTTTTGAAAAACCCAGCTAAGATAACCAAAAAACCTAAGCAGTACATAAGCAAATAATAATAATAATAATAAAAACAGATTGTTGAAAACTACAAATGTTATAGTTAACAAAACAAAAACTTTTATCCACTTTTATAAAAGGATATATATAAAAAAAAAACAAGATTTCAAAATTTGAACCCAAGGCGTTAAATAAAAACCCAGATCTGGGGGTAATAACCCATCATTGGCAGCCCTGGCTGATAGGAGTGTCCCGGGTGCTATTCTTAATTCAACATTTAACATTCCTCACCCAAACAGTGGCTGTTTGAGCCACAGTTTGTTGAAATTTTCAGAGTCCAGTCCTGGAGAGGAACCGTTGGAAGCTAAAAGAGTATTAAACCAGGGCTATCCTCGGAATAATGGCCACATATTATGGCGGCCAAAAAACACCCTAACAGGGCCTCATTCGCATGTAAATTACGGACTTACGGCGACTTAAATTTTGGACTTCCGGTGACTCCCACCACTGCCAAGAGTATCTCCCACGCCGCTACGCGCGGCGTGGATCGGAGCTAAACTAGGTGGCTGGGACTCACGAGCAGCAGCTTCTGCAACTCCTGCAGCTTTGCTCGTGAATCCCAGCCATCTAGTTTAGCCCCAATCCACGCCGCGCGTAGGGGCATTGGAGATACTCTCAGGGGGTGGCGGGAATCGCCGGAAGTCCAAAATTTAAGTCGCTGGAAGTCCGCAATTTACATGTGATTGAGGCCCTGTTTTGGGCTGCCATAATATGTGGCATAAATGAGTAACAGATTAAATCAAAAAGCATGTATAATTGCTCACACTGTTGGAAATGTGAAATGTTTTTTTTTAAATTTTATATTGGATATTTTAGTTACATGAGAGCTCACAAGAAACATACCCATGTGGGTTCCATGGCCTCGTTGTAGGGAAAATAAGAATAGACTGCCTCCCCAACAAGCATATCATAAAAGCTGACTAATTGGGGGCTTCCTTCAAAGTCGGAGTGCATCTGCCTGAGAGACAAGGAACCAACAGTCTGCATACAAATAATCAACATCTGTGAAATGGATGCACACACAAAACTCAGGTCCTGGAACAAAGCCGAAGTCCAAAAATAGATAAACAACCAGGTCTTTTTTTGCAGAGGTTTACAGCCAGTGGATGCAAACAAACAAACAAAACTTGAAACAGTATTAGAATTGTTTATTAAGTTAATGTTTGTTTATTAGATCCTCTTACTTGGGGTTTCACCTTGATTATAGGGTGGCTTAAGCTCCAAGTTTCGATACCTCTGCCTGGTGGTCAAGCACGTGACTACTAGACTGAGATGCAAGACTACCAGCCAGGGACGGTTTACTAGGGAAAAGGTAACAGTACTCACCACAAGTATGACAAAAAGTGCAGGTACTCACTAAAAAGTGTCTATTGCAGTAGTGCGGGGGAAAAAAAGATACATGAAAAAGTTCTGATATTGTAAACCACCAAAAAAAAAGGCCCGGGTACCAACTATTCTGTTACCATGGCTACTTTAAATGATAACAATGCATTTAAAATCAGCTGAAATAAAAACAATGCATTGTTAGATTGTTCAAAGTGTGATAACATCACTTCTAGGGAAATCAATGAGTTAATCAATCAAATTATCCTACTATTTGCTATTTTGTGTGTGGTTTACTTCACAGATTTGTCAAGATGTGATCTGACACAAATCCCAGATGCAGTCTTTCTTCTATTAAAAAACACAATGCTTGAGTCCTGCAATATTTCACAGAATCTCATCAGAAGAATTCCTTCAAAACTTGCTGTCAAGTTTTCGTCTGTTTCAGGTGAAATTTTAGTTTACTTTCATCACACACTCTTCAAAATTGACACAATGATATCATCATCTTAACTCTTTGAGTACCAGAGGGTTTAGAATCACAGACCCAAGTGGTAGTCAAGAGAGATGTAAAATTGGCGCATCATGCGTTCATTGGGCTTCCAGGCAGTAATCTATGAACGTATGATGCGTTCCTTGGGAC